ATTTAATAGAGAAAACTGTCGTAAAAAGGGAAACAATTTTATTTTCTTATGAAGTATTTTGAATCATGGAAATGTCAACTATAAAGAACTCTTTTTATGGTTTGTTTACAAATAGTTAACTACCTAAACAGACGGAGTATAGGTACGACAATAAGTCTATTCCAGTCCAGTAAACACAGTTGGCGTTGTCTCTTTGAAGCAATATCTATATATCTATAGATACACGAGTAATATAATGGAGTTAGTATAAAAGAGTACACGGTTGGAACATTCGCAGCCGTCGCAAGTGTTTATACCCACTGCGTACATAAAAATATAATCGTGGTGCGCGTATATCCGAGACAAGATACAACACGGATGTGGAGAAGTTATATTTTATTTATGATGTGGGCTATAAAGTATACTTCTCTGCCGGACGGCCGGGATAAGCAGAACCACACATAAGTATATATAGAGCATCTTTGGATACCTCCACCTTTGAAAACTTATGCCCGAGTCCATAAGCAACAGCACTTAGATAAAATTATACCCTTTACAACTTTAACAAGTTCCATCTGACGATGGAAAGGAAAGTCCATTAATATCGATAATGAACTTCAATATACTACAACATAGTTAAAGCCCCGCATGACCAAAGTATTGATTTTCTGTTTAATATCTGAATATGAGTTATACGCAATTGACCTATTTATTTTCATCAGAGATATTAAAAATATATTTTCTTTTAAACTACCTAGATTGGAGATATAACGTCATCGCTGAACGAAATTACACCGCCGGCAAAGTGAACGCTGGCTAGCAAATCAAACTAGCTACGCCGAGTTTAGTTAGGTTTTTTGCAGCTTTACTTTATTCAGCCAAAGCCCGGCGAAATATTGTGAAAACATGGATTCGGAACAGTATGCAACGAACGAAATTTTCTGCAAAAGTTTTCTAAAAGATCTGTATAGATTGGATTTGGTTAATATTACTATCAAATAATATGAATACAATAGATATATCTATATATATAAAAATCAATGCCACTTTTCGTTGTAATTCCATAACTCAAGAACGGGCTCACCTATCCAAACCAAATGCTTAGGATTTGGTCGGCATATTTAGTAGATGGTTTATGTGAAGTTTGCACAAAATCGGTCGAGCGGTTCCTCATTTGTCACATTTTTTGTAATAAATGAATTCAATAGAAACTTTTTTCACAGAAACTTTTTTGAAGTTTTGTTGACAGGACAAGCACGTTGTTATGTCATTCATGCCGTCAGTTCATTTAATTCGTATGCGTCATCATGCAAGAAATCCTGATTTGTTGATTACCTTGGAAATGTGCAACGAAGCTTTGATAATAATTGAAGATATATGTCTAACGATTGCAAATAAAGCATTAGTACAATTGGGTATGACCGCACCAAATCGTCCCATGCATGATTTGTTTGATCGTGAATTGCAACGTGAGCAGGAATTCAACTGTAATGATTTGCGTTTATTTGTACAATCGAATATAACCAAATTAAATATTCAGCAAAAACATGTATATGATACAATCATGCAAGCCGTTTCCAATAATGCAGGTGGATTATATTTTTTGGATGCACCTGGTGGCACAGGTAAAACGTTCGTTATATCATTGATTTTAGCGACTATTCGATCAGATCAGAAAATTGCACTAGCACTTGCATCTTCGGGAATTGCTGCTACATTATTAGAAGGTGGTCGGACCGCACACTCTGCATTAAAATTGCCATTGAATGTACAGGTGATTGAAACTCCAACTTGCAATATATCGAGAAATTCTGCTATGGCAAAAGTTCTGCGATTAACGTCAATTATTTTATGGGATGAGTGTACAATGGCGAATAAAAAATCACTAGAAGCATTCAATCGAACAATGCAAGATTTACGTGGTAATCAACAGCTTTTTGGTGGTGCTTTGATATTACTTTCAGGGGATTTTCGTCAAACATTGCCTGTCATTCCTCGATCAACTCCTGCTGATGAAATAAATGCCTGCTTGAAGTCATCAGTTCTTTGGAGATATCTACAAAAATTGACACTAAACATTAATATGCGTGTTCACCTACAAAATGATCCAGCTGCCCATGAGTTCTCAAAACAATTGTTAGAAATTGGTGACGGCAAAATACAAATCGACAGAACCAACGGATTGATCGCTGTACCGAACAATTTTTGTACAATTGCGCAATCGATAGATGAATTGATTGAATGTGTTTTTCCGAATATTGTTCAGAATTACAGAAATCATGATTGGTTGACAGAACGCGCCATTTTAGCACCGAAAAACATTCATGTCAATGCAATTAATTTTCAAATTCAAGCGAAACTGCCAGGCGTAGTCACGAAATATAAATCAATTGACAGTGTTATGAATCAAGATGAGGCAATGACTTATCCAATTGAATTTTTAAATTCATTGGAGCCAGCTGGTATGCCACCGCATTGCTTGAATCTGAAAGTTGGTTCTTCGATTATATTATTGCGAAATATTAATCCACCAAAACTGTGTAACGGAACCAGATTGGCAGTGAAAAAGTTATTGCCAAATTTGATTGAAGCTACGATCTTAACTGGTAAATCAAAAGGAGAAGTTGTTTTGATACCGCGTATACCTATGATTCCAACTGATATGCCTTTTGAGTTCAAACGTTTACAATATCCTGTGCGTTTATCATTTGCGATGTCCATCAACAAGGCCCAAGGTCAAACACTTCACGTTTGTGGTGTGAATTTGGAGGAACATTGTTTTTCACATGGCCAGTTATATGTTGCCTGTTCCAGAGTCGGTACCCCCAGCCGTTTGTTTATTTATGCTCAAAATGGAAAAACAAAAAATATTGTTTATCCAAATGTTTTGGATTAAGTGTGTTGTAAATAGCTAGCAATTGATTTCGATTTTAAATAAAATATTTTTTTGATTTTATAAATGAATTTGATGTTCCGATTTGTTTATTTTATTTCACTTTATACGTAGCGAAGCACGTACCGGGCCGCTAGTTTTTTCATAAATGTCATTACCGCACAACAAATAAATTTAACAAAGAATATCTGTCTGTTTGTCTATTAATTGAGACATTACGACATTGCGATGTAAATTCTCCTGAGAAACTCAGACTTTGAGTGTAATATGTAAACTTTTCTATAGCTCAAGCTCTGCGATTTTTAAAGTTGAACCTCTCTATAATATTAAAGCACATTCGATATTTACAATTCAATTTGAGTAGTTAAGTTAATGACCGAATTGTTTACATTACCCATTTTATAGGCTCATGACTAAGTACTACATAACCGAATATCGATCGTGTAGTTGGGAGGCGGTTTGTCACATGATGTATGCCGATCACTCACATTCATCGAAATTCCTCCGGGTTCCACAAAGGCCTATCGATACATGAATTTAAGTATATTGATGCCTGAAATCTCACAACGGGTGTAACAAAAATGTCAAGGTTATATGGATCATTTAGATATTATTATACGTCGAGCTTTTCCCTTTAAAATGAGTAAGATTTTCTCTGTCGAGTCTCGAGTCATGTTTTACTACATATCTCATATATACCATAAGAAAAAGGACAATAATATCATAAGGTAGCCGGATACCGCGGGTTATGGCTTCTAATGCAATAAATGTACAGTTTTTATGTGGATTACGGACCATAAACGAAAAAACAGCAAGTCTAACAATAATATATAATACATAATAATATAAGTTCACATTATGATCTTAGATCACTTAGCATTAAGAGATTAGAGGATGATCTACTAACCTAACCTAACGATCTGGGGTCACTACCGTGTCGATATTTTTTCCATAGACGCGTCCAGATTATCAGAATCATAATGAGTACAGCATTTTGAGACAAACTTAATAGATAGTACCCATGTTATTTGCACTTGTAGCATCAAGCATGTACCACGCAACAGTAGAGTGGCACAAAGCTTTAATAGTATTCAGTGAGGAGCATGACCTATCAAACTTCGCCCTCTTCAGTTACTGCGACATCGGTGTCACAAGAATAACTATCTTGCTCGTCCAATCTTTTAGTCCGCATCAAATTACTACAGATCATGGATTCATACATGTTTAACAGCAATACTTCTACCATGATTAGTCTAACAGGAGTTTACGTCACAACGGTGCCATCTGAAGAGCACTAATCACTAATTCCCTCTTTGGATCCATTGCCCTATATTTTTTTAACTAATCTTTGTATTTTCTGTGTAAACCTTACACATCACTAGCATTTATACTTAAACCAAGGATACAATAGGGGGACAAGTGGTCCTGCTACACGTGTCGCCATTGAAATTGGTTGAAGTAGTGCGATGTTGCCGGATTTTGGTCGACATGTGGGCAATATCAACGTCGCAATGGACATAAGCGCGTTGTCGCCTTATATGTCAGATGAAATAGGCTAACTTCGCTTGACATGTCGTCTATACAAGTCGTGCCACATTTGTCCCCTAATGTACCCTTGGCTTTAAGCCTAAATTGATATAAAATATTTGAAAAACAAACCATACATTAGCTAGCATCACTGCTTCGCAAAAGGAGGAGACGGCATCCTAGCCCCCCGCACTCCACACCATAGGCGTTACAAGTGCGTTACTGGCTTTTGGTGGATTAGGAATTGAAATGTAAAGTGTAACCCAAATGTAATGAGGGCTACCGTTTTTGCTCACTAGATGGCGATAATGTAAGTCTGGTAGTCCAGTCACTGTAGCTGTCAAAAATTGAATGTTCAATGGTTTGACAGTTGGACAAACAGGTAGACCTCACCACGGCACATTTGGTGAACAAAACATAGGTAGTAATCATCAATATGTAATTCTATCCTTATGGTTTCGGAGCCGCGGAAGGCCTAACGGGTAGACACTACCTCTCGCCTAACCCAAGGCGAGAGAAGTCATTGGAAACCACGTGGTTTGATTATAAGCATTTCAAATCGGTCTTGGTATAAGTATAGCATTAAAATGATTGCACTTACCTTGAGCATGGTGAGTATTTTCTGAGAGAGCTCATAATCGAAGTTGGTGTACTTGGAGTCGGTCATGTCGTATATGAAGACGAGGCCGGCGCGCTGCGTCTCCACCGACTGTAGCGCCACGTCCAATTGGTACACCACACCCTGGACCAAAGAAAGTAATTATTTATGCGAACACTAATAAGTTCATCGAATTATTTTTTTAACTGAATAACTCATTTGAAGAAAGTTGCTGATATTCAATTTTACACTCTCTATTTAGCGCTAGTAAGGTCGTTTACAAAGTACCACGGTTAGTTATAGTTCATATGTGATGACATTACTATTACAAATGTATAGCACAAAAACGCCTGCTGAGAGCGAGTTGGACTCGAGTGGAAAACATTAAAAATACATAGGTATACTTTTACATAGGAGTCCCACTCAAATATAATGTAAATATGTTTTGTATTTCGTTATGCAGATGAGATAAAGCCCAGTGTTAGGTCTCACTAGTGGGGTGCTATTTGTGGAACAAAATAATAAATTATTTCCCTAATATGGCACCTGTGAAAAATAATGATAGGTGCACAAGTTGAACCTTCAAGGATTAGCCACATAAAACAAATACTTTCTTATTGATCTAGCAAATTTTTGAACTAGTAATCATCTATGTCATTAATAGACCTTTATTTATTCATAGAATAATACCACATAGTATGTGTACACACACACAAAGGACTTTATATTATAGTTTATAAAGGAAATAATTTATAGAAATTATGAAAATGTGGGGATTTTCCTTAATTAGAATAACAATAAATTATACCGATAGAAATTTAAAACAAATAACAATTGAACAAAACATAATATATAATTGAGTTTTAAAAAACAAATAGCCTGCTGACGAGACGATGGTGACGGGGCACCATTTGTTTTTCTCAACACTTTCCCTCATTAACAGACCGATATCTACTAACAACTGGAACGAAATATGAATACTTTAAAGTTAACTTATTTTTCCGCAACAATTTCAAGGCTAATTTGATAAAGAAGTGAAAGCAAATAAGATCAATTTCAACAAAGCGATAAGTGCCAATACAATTACAACAATTAATGGTGGCTAGTTTTTTTTATTAGTTAGGTTGTGTAGGTTAGCTTACTAACGCAACCATTCGGGGATACTCGACTAGTTTCTAGCAACGCTAGGAGCTCATAGTCGTGTACGCTTGAAACTGGGCGAGCAACCTCGTCGAACAAATTACGTTAGTAAGCCTCTTAACAGTTAACCGCCGCGTAAGACGTATGTCGCTTAGTGGATTCGTTTTCAACATGTTTCTGTCGGCAGTTAAAGGTTTAAGTAAACTACGAAATCATAATTCGTTCAGCCGTTTTTGAGATGAAAGGTATGAAATTATGAATCTAACTTTGACGTTGTACAAGTACGAGGTTAGCGACATCAGGGCAGTCACGGAAGACGAATAGAGTAATCCATACGTTAGTAAGTATACTTAGCTCATGAAAACAATGTAGTTGGAAATTGATATCATATATACTCCGTCTGTTTAGGTAGTTAACTATTTGTAAACAAACCATAAAAAGAGTTCTTTATAGTTGACATTTCCATGATTCAAAATACTTCATAAGAAAAAAAAATTGTTTCCCTTTTTACGACAGTTTTCTCTATTAAATGTTATGTTTCTGTTCCTTTTCACTTATTTCTCAGTAAATATTATATATATCTGCTTGAGGATATTAATTTAATAACATTTATTAAATAATATAATATTTTATTACAATAGACACCATAAAGAGCCTAAAATCCCCGGTATCCAAAACCTTTCTTTAAAGAACGAAGCAAAATAATGTTGTCAAATTAAAGAGTACAACTAAGATGTGGCGCGACAATGAAAGTAGTGTGTATTACGTTTAGTCGGTTAATCAGGCGCCATTGACAGCTCTCTCGTCGTTTGCGCTCGCGTTCCTATTTTGTTGAATTTAACTTGTTTCTTTGTTTTGTTTTTGTTATTAAGTTATTTAAGTTTAGGTTATTCATCGTTTGTAAATAATGTGTTCAAATATATTAAAGAAACTTGGCCCAAAGACAGATATCCACACAAGAAAGAAATCCGTACATCAGATTCAGAATAGTTTCTATGATAATGAAATAGACCCATAGGCTAGGCTCTTGTATGATTTAGGCATTTGTACTTGTATGTGTTTGTATGACAAATGAACGATTTTAAAGTGAATTTAGTTAAAATTAAAACACGAGAAATATTTGAAATAATAGTAGGTTAAGTATCTCTGTGTCACGTGGTTTTCTTTGTTTACCTTTAGTTAATTACCTAAACAGATGGACTATAGTACATGTACTACATCATGAATGAATGTTTGGGGTTCATAAACTTAGCTGTGATTTAAACTGTCAAACACCAAGCGGTCACCGGTGACCGCGACCTATTGTTCTTTAATTGTGTCTATAAAACCGGTACTCGACGAGTTAAGTGAATTCACGGTAAAATAAGACAAACAAAAGCTATAATCATAATATTTTAGATATATGCAATTATTAATTATTAACGTCTAATAAATTAATTTATTTGTGGTTTTATACAGTTTTAGAAGAACTATGATTCACATAAAATATTAAACAATAACATGAGCGTTAATAGCGACATTTATTGACGTTTATGTTTCAAAAGTGCCTGTTACTTTGGAACCGCAAAAACAATCTCTTCTGTTTATATGTGAGTGTTGTGTAACGATATTTGTACACCACACCCTGGAATAGTAGAAGCTTATTTAAGTAACTCAATGGCAAATGGCAACCAACTCTTGTAGTTAACAACCAGCTCTAAATCACTGGAATCGAATTTAAAACTTTATGACATCATTATATAATTTTATTTATACTCCACGATGGAAAACATTCATGGTGTTTTAACCACTTGTCAATTTTCCTCATCAACTATCCATGATTATAACAAAATGCCTGGTAATGCAATTTACTGTTTAATATTATTTTATCTATTAATAAATTTTACCTGTTTGTTTATAACATGGTTTACCTGTAATGTTATCTGATGCGTAGTCTGCGTCGGAAAATGTTTGTTTGCGGTGAAAACCGCAATGGCAGCACCGGTCGCATCTCGCGTTGGCTGCAAAAATAAATTCAAACAATTTAATTTTACCAAAAATGCACTCCTGACAGCAAAAAAAAAATGTAGAAATATAAATAAAATTGTCACCAGTTCCCTTAGTAATAGCATGGTTTTTCCAGTTCTAAATATAATGATTATTAGAGATAGCTTAAATTACCCATAACGTTGTTAGTTTAAGCCCACGTAATGTTTATTTTAAACTATTAGTTATCAACGGCCCTACTGTTCTAGTTTCTTCTTAATTTGCTCAATTTGTCTACAGCTTTGAAACTTATTGTAGATAGTAGCAGTAAGTGAACCACAAACTTATCGTATTCATGCGATCCAACTTAAATATAATTGGATCGTTCAGGGATAAACTGAAGATTAATAAAAGTCGATGTGCCAAGCTAAGTTCATGCAAGAAATTTTTATATGAAGATCGCTTACCAGTATAGTAAATTTCCCTGTTTCTAATTCAGACTTCAGTGGATCTTCAAATGGCTCGAATTTGTTGAGGCCCTCGCGGCGTCGTGTAGCTTCGTGTTGTCGCCACAAAGCGTGCGCACGCGCCACATCAAACTTCCGCGCGAGCAAGAATTTGATCGCTGTGGCTCGCGACACACACGCCGCCCCCGATTCACTCAAAGCGTCCAAAAACGCCTTCGTAGCCTGGAAACACAAAATTTTATTAACAACATCGCTTTCAGGCAAGCATATAATATAAATTAACAAAATACAGAAATACAGTAATGCAATCATAGATTGAGGATTTTTTACAAAAATTCAATCGTATTTACATTTATTTTATTAGACATTTGGACTTTTGGAAAGATAATAGATCTTTTGGACTTTCTAAATTTCTTTTGGACATAACGTAACGACGTAAGACAAGACATAATATGTATAAAATTAAAATTATTGAATGTACCCGCAGGAATTTAAGGAAGCTCTGGATGATCGCCTCTTCCCACTTGGATCTTCTACGATATTGATTCATTATTACTTTATGCACAGTTGTTGTTTATTAAATAGCACTCGGGTTTCACTTCACCATTTCGTCACACTTTCATTGTGACAACTTGTAAAGTCTCGACACAGAGCGAAACTATCTCGTCCAATTGAACTGAATTAAAGTTACAGTTTACAATATTAAGTACAAGATATGCTCCTAAGAGAATAGCAAAATATCAGAAAATCAGAAGCAGTTGTAACCAGTTCAGGAGCAAATGCATTTTTGAATTGTCTTTCAGTTAATAGAGATTACCGTTTATCAGTCATACGACTAGAACACGAGATATGTACGATCCTGATCATTATATATCTTACATAAAATCTACTGTTACAAAGGGTTAACGATTCTCAATCCGGTAATGATCTCAGGTACATCCTGAATCATTTTAATCAAGTTTACAACAGCATTATACAATCTGAATGTCGGGTTCTATTTTAGTTTAGCAGTATGTCAAGAGAAGATCGGATTAATTAGAACGTGCATGGTACGAGTGTGAAGCATACGTCGGGTATAAGAGGCAATAGAGGGACACTCGAGCCCTAAGCGGATGGGATGCGACGCGAGTGTGCGACCGTTGCATATGTATATCGATGCAAATAAGACGGGTACAACGCGGCGGGTTAATTCTTCCGGGATGTATTTCCTGTACGGGCGCGGATGAACCCGGGCCCCAACATTAGTATGAGTGAGCACGCTCCACACATATCACAACTTTGGAGCCGTTTTACATTACGTCACGCTACCACAACACTCAATACACTTATTGGTAACTCGCACACTTAGAACACGCTCGTTTAACTATAACCGTAACACGTTCTCTATTGCAACTTCTTTTAGTTTATGTGATTACTTAATACCTGAATACAACTAGAAATCCAAACTAAGTTTTTATTTCAGTAATTCATTCGTGATATTCTGGTTTTAAGTATCACAAAAATAATATAATTCACTGACATTATTTTATCTTTACAGCCTTATTATTAGTAACTTATTCTCTCTGAGGGAATTTACAAAAACTAAATATTTTGACTTTCCTGCTACAACTAAAGGTGAATCATAATTATATCATAATATTAGGTACAATAAATATTTCTGAATCCCACATTGTTTCAATATTAAGTCTTCCTCAATTATTCATTTGGTGATTGAGGAGAGCCAGTAACAAACATCAAATAAAAGAACTAAACAACAGACACTGGGGTTCACGACATACAAAAATATTAATTTATTAAATAAAAAGCAACAATAGAAATATATTCCACACTGATATTAATTCTCACAGTTATTATTTGTTACACACTTGTTGACTATGTACTAGTATTACGTGCGGCTCGCGTAACAACAAAATTAAAACAATGCCTATAGCGTAGGATCGCACGCACGATCGCACGAAGGCAGACCCAACTTGCAACTGTCAAACCGACTAAAGGTAATTGAATGAAATGAATTATCAGAACCGTGCCCGGACCAATAGCATGCAACCGTCAGTGTAACAAACACCACAATAATAAATCATATAAAGGACCACTACATAATATTACACGGAGCCTAAAACTATAGCGTGAGTCTAGAACTATATTACACAGCTTTGCGTGGTTAAAACCAAATTAAATTACACACCAAACTAAACCGTTTTCAGAAATCTGTCCGGTAATTATTTAGTGTATCGCGTAAGCGTATTATAGCGTATCTTTCTATATGAGTAATCGTATAGAGACAAACAACCGTAAAAAGAGACTTGTCTTTTAAAAGCTTTTGAAAGAAAATTTTGGCATGTTCTATCTATCTAGGTATCTTTTCAGATGCACATAAATTGCTTTTATAGTATGTGATTTGTTTAAAATTTCTATCCAGGTGAAGATAGTTAGAATAAGCGATAATACGTCTGAGGTGGATCCTTCTGGACACACCTACAGATAGAAGTTTAAGAATATTGGGAACACAAATATGAATTTCTGGACATCTACACCACTGCAGTATTGATAAAAAAGTATATCTTAAGCTTAGGTAACAAATTAAATTACCAACTTTCAATTGTTGAAACTTGTTTGACTACTTTAGTGCGATATTTTACCGGTGGGCAAAATGAAACTAGCTGGTCATCAACTCATCATTTACAGTTGACTGCCCTTTCATAAATAAGAACCTGCCCGCAAAGCGAAATAAAATTCGCGTAGATTTATTTCCGCACCGCATCACATCTTTATACGAAATCTCTGATTTTTTATAGCCTGTGCGGATATTTTCTTTGCTGTCACAGAATTGTAAAATAAATAAATACGTATGAATTTTACAGACAGCAACGTAAACTTATTAATAAGAATTAAACTAGCAAGCAAACTGTAACCACCAGGAAGAATCCAGTACAGCTTAGATGTCATGTACCAATTAAATGTGGAAAGTGAACACAAACAAAACAACGAGGTACCTCTCAAGTGCTAAATAGCTTCGAAGCGTGGCAAAGTCAAAAGCCATTGTTAACAAAGTACTTTGTTGTTTTTCTGGTTCAAAAGTCATCTATGTACAGTACACAGTTTTGTTAGTGTTTATTTAAACGCGATAATTACAACTTTCTTATAATGGACAATTTCAATGGGATTCCCATAAACAAACTATTTTTAACATGACCTATTATTTTGGGCCTGTTATCCTGTACGTATCCATCGTTAGCCGCGTCATCATTTACCACCAGGCGAGATAGTGACCAAACGTGGACCCATTCAATATGATAAAAATTATGTACGAATTGAAATGTAGATCTTGCTCGTTTATCACAAAGATCGATGTTTGTCCACCCCTCAGATATGAACACCTCACTCCTCAGTCTAAGCTCTTCATCGGTTTACGTCCATAAATTATTATTAAAGTTTAAATACGGTTTACCGCGAACTCAATGCTCTTATTAGAATTGTATACGTGTTATTGGTTCTTAAAATGGCATTTCTTGGAACAACACCTGAGCAAACCTTGAGTTATACGTTTAATATGAAAATAATCTGATGATGGAAATATAATTTAAAATACGGCATCTTTGTTATAGACTAGGACATTTTTTAGAATGCAGGCAGCACACGGGATTCTCTAGGATCTCATCTAGAGGCCACAGCGAAACAAACTATCAACCGCCAAGGTACCTCGAAACTCGTACGGTGGGCAGTATCGACGTAATTTATGGAAACGATTTTATTGTGAGTCATGCGAAATGAATAATCGCTATTATATACATTTACATATAAGAATATCTCAACTCAAGTAACTACCTAAGTATATAAACTCGGACTTCGTGTCAATGACACAACGCACAGGGATAAAAGAGATTACGGCTGGACAACGAGTATAGTAACGCTCTGAACCACATCTCAACTAACAACCGGTATGGTTCCTTGAGCACATTGTAGTGAAATGTAAGGGAATGTACTCTCATCCATCGTTACAAAAATTCTTTTTGTAGGGTAGGCATTATGTATGTTCCTCAACAGTTTGCAACTAAAGCGGAATGATACCACGGAACATAAGTATAATGGTAATGGTTTTTTGTTTGGTATTTCCATTTTTAAAACTATGTATTTAATTACACCTGAGAACGACACACGAAAAACGCATATGCTTAAATTGGAACTTGGAATATTTTAAAAGAGAAATTAAGAAATAAAAAAAGGAAAACATCTAACTTCATGGTCGCAACCCACTTGTTTGATGGTGACTAAACGATTGTGCACCAACGTATCCATATTCCGAGAACTCAGCATCACAAAGGTTTTGTCGACCACAGCACAGACCCGCATCCTACGGTACGTACTTGTCTACAGGCATGATAAAAACTCCATAGAATGTCTGGTCGTGCAAGAACAAGTGTAGAGGAAACCATGAGGTAGATCACCTAACTGGGACTGTGTGCCGGCTGCTGGGAAATCCTGTGTCAGGCTGCCCCGACCGCTCTGCCAAGAGGGAAGCGACAGAGAACAAGAAGAAAGAGCAAGAGATTGTCCAGTAACATTTAAACATATTTCTTGTAATGCCACTCATGGAATATTTTTTAAATTGTTCTGATATATGCTGTTAAACATTAGTTTCCCTAAAAAGTAAAATCGGCAGATTCTAATTATTTCACTGTACAGGTTGAATGTTCCGGGTCTCCGGTGTTTTTTTCCTACTAGTTTTGGAGTTGTTTATTGGATTACAGTAGCTATTTATGCGATTGATATTTTAAGCCGTTGATTTCGTATTCAAAAATGTTGTGGGAAAGTACTTACTCTGTTCGATATTTTTCTACGAATATATGTAATTGTTGCATAGTTTTGCAACCTACACACGTGGGTAACCTACTCACAATTTCATAATCTAGTATTAAACGTTTCGAATCGAGAGTATACTCTAAACTATAAGTATTAATTAATAAGTAACTACATTTGTAATATACAAAAACTACGAAGATTGTAATATACAAAAAGCCCAAACTTTATATAGGTTCACCGTTTTACTTTACACAATATATTATAAAATACATTATAATTATTATTGTAAAAATAATTGTTACATACATATATACTTAGTAAACATTTCTGGTACGTGTGACATTTTAAGAGTAACGCAACAAGTCTGGATCAGAGATGTAACAAAAGCGGAAGTTGGAATCGGTCATCGACCGAGAGATCGATAGGCTATTCTATTTCAGAAGACTGCTAATAAACTGCATACGTTCAGTAGGTGGGGTAAAAAGGTACTGAAATGCATAATTAATTAAGTAAATATTGTAATCAAGTATTTATTTGTTGAGAACCGTATTTTTCGCATGCACATCTAACTTTTAAGATGTTGAATAACTGGCTAACTGACTGTTTGACTGCCAACCAACTCACAGCCGAAACTACTGAACTTGAAAATTAAACTTAGCAGATATTTTCCTTGGGGAGTGTAGAGGAATACTAAGAGAGAATTTCTCTAAACTCCTACGGGAACGAGGAAAACGAGGATCACCTATTTGTACGTACTAAGTCATTGGCAGAATTTACTGGTACTACGGATACTAGAATTTAGTCAATTTAGTAAAGTAGAAGAGTTTGTTGGCTGAACGCGCAAATATACGGAAGTACTGGTTCGAATGTTACGTGGCCCATTAATCGAGATAGGCTAAACATCTCGCTACGATCAATAGGTGGCGAGCAGTGGGTACTACCACGCGGGAGTAGCTACTTATGGTATAGCAAATTCAATTATCTGTTTTGGGAAGAGATATGAATGTTTCAAACAGTCCGAGAGTATTATTAACATCCAGTCAGGTCGAAACTATGCATCCAATATTAATAACCAACGTCAACCCAAAATCTTTGGTGTGAATAGTTTTTTACCATTGTTTTTTTCCATATTTCTGCCAAAAACTAAGATGCATTCTAAGTTTTTAGTTTGAAAACAGTTGATAATTTTGGCCGCAATTCAAATATTGCAACCACTCCACCAATAAAGCAGTCCAAAAAATATTTACTTCATAACTTATTATTACTAATGTTAATAACTGTTACTTTTACCAATGTAAATAAAGATGACATACATAGAAAGAAATGTATTAGTAAAACATTTATTTAGGTACTATTTTTATCTGTAACCATCTGTATACTTAATAAAAATTTGTCTATGCCTTATATTTATTATTATTCTTACCTATATTGTTAGGGTTTGTTACTTGGTATAAATGTAACCAAGTTACCATTTTTTGTGTGAAATAACACACAAAATAGTTACTTGGTTATACGACCAGGTCAGTAGGTGACCTAATTTCATCTTCCACTAGGTATAATTATTTTGAAAAAAATGAATGAATGCGATTTCCCACATAAAATATTACATAAAAATTAGTATAAACGAAAACAAAAATCAAATAAACAAAATTAAATGTTGTATGTTACACTTTTTTAAATCCCCCAAGGCTCAACGATGCACATTTACAATATAAAACAAACTTATAACTGTTTATATAACAAATCCCATAGAATAAGCCAAAAAATCAATCATTCTTCTCCTGACCTGGGAACCAGAGAACAAATTCAAAAATCACTGAGATTTAAAAAAATGATTTTTCGTTTGTATATATTATATTCTATATATTTACATCGACTGAGCCTTACTTGAGGATGTGTGGTTTCATGTCCATTCCCAGTATTGGAAAATTCATTTATTAAATACTTTTTTGAGACTAATTATTGGTAAAATATTTGTATAACATTCAATACGCTTTGTACTACTAGAAGAAAGTAAACAGAGTGAGACATGTTTCAAATAACATTCAGAAAAATTTGGGTAGGTGGCTAAACCACCTACTCCCTGTTCACTGAGCGGAAAAACATCATAAATTATACAATGTCTACCCATTTAACAGAAAACACACAAATTCTTATGTTATGAAATGTATACTTTGGAAAAGTACCAGCAAAGCCTGTATTTTAAGTTAGTTCCTATAAATAAACTGGGGCGGAAATAGGAGGAGCTACGCATATATTGTCAATTCATGTTGACTGTTGAGTACCAAGAATCATTTAGAGCTACGTAGAATAGTTTATCAAGGTATGTAAACGCTGCGAGTTAGTAATTTAATGTAGCATTTAAAACAAATTTATGTTTACTAACGTAATAAGAATGTTATGTGCCATCAATTAAAGAAATAGAAACTTTATAACTGTAACAACAAGACACGAAGTAATCAAAACAAACATTGGTGACATGGTAAACGAAGCAAGTTTCAACCCACATCCTTTTATTAATTCTTGGAAGAAACGTGATTTTAATGTTACCTGAAAAAATATTCACACTCAAAAGGAGTAAATACATGCAACACAAGCATACATTTAAAATATTAACACAGTAAATTCTTTAAATTACTCACCAACTCTTGATCGGGTGACAGAGCCACCGCCATCTTTGCAATAAACTGACAAAATGACAGCCGAATCTAGTATTGCCGCAACTAAAAAACCGCGAGCGAGGATACCATGTAATAATGGGAACCTGTGCCAGTTTCTTTCTTCAGAATTTCTTCAGAAATATTAGTTATTTTTTGTAGAATAAAGGTCATCCCACATTAAAAAAGCACGTCCGGAGACCGCGCGACTCCAAATCGCGGGCGGCGCGCATGCCACGAGGTGACAGCTTTTAACAATACCTAACTAGATGTTTAATTTTTGAAAGAAACTGCTTATATCTGTCTAGTTTTTATTTTAGGTATCTGCCTATTCTTTTGACGAAGTTTTTTCCAAACTTTACAGGCCGCCTTGTCCTTGCCTATGCATAGACACAGGAAAAAATTATAGAGATAGCCAATGACCAAGTATCAAAACATTATTATGAAATGTCAAAAGTAAAAAAAAAAAACTTTCGAGTTTCAGGTTATAAAATTAGCTTTATTGAGTTTATTGTATTATCGCAATTATTTGAAATAAAATCCATATAAATATTATATTTTCACCTTTTCTGGACTTTCAAAATGTCTACACGTTGGTAAGCACAGTCAATAAACAATAAAAATATATGTTCATATTTTCATAACAGTAAAAGCAATTCAGTAAATTGTTACTTTAAAACGTGAAAATAAGGTTAAATAGGTTTTTTTAGTAAATAAATTATAATAAGTCAATTAATTTATGATAAACACTATTTAAAACACTAAATCGAAACAAATAACTAGATTATTTTGTGTTTCAGGTATCCTATTTATCAAAGGGGCAATCCACAGCTGAGAGTTTTTCTTCCTAATTTCTGGATGAAAATGGTGCAGCCACAGGCAAAACAATTACCAAACATTGTTCAATTCCATTGCTCCATGGAGATGACAAAATTTGACATAAAAAATTACTTGGAAAAAATATATCACATCCCTGTAGTTGATGTAAGAACCAAAATAGCTATAGGTAAATTCCGACGAGATGTCGGTAAAGGATACGTAATCAAAGACGATGATTTTAAAACAGCTTATGTTACATTGGTAAGTAAATGCATGGTAAAACTAAATCCTTACTAATATTATAAATCTGAAAGTGAGTTTGTTTGTTTGTTCCACCTTCACGCCGTAACTACTCAACCGATTGCTTTGAATTTTTGCAGACGTAAAGTTAGAAGTCCGGATTAAATAATAGGGTACTTTTTAACCCGGAAAAAATTAATATTCCCGAGGGAAAACAAAAGACAAGTATTGGTATAGATGGCGCTGTGTGTATTGGTATTTGTCACTTAGGCTACTTTTTATCCTTTTGTGACGCGAGCGAAGCCGCGGGTAAAAGCTAGTATACTTATAATTATAAATACACCCTTTGCTCCCCAATTAAACTGTCAAACACCAAGCGGTCACCGGTGACCGCAACCTATTGTTCTTTAATTGTGTCTATAAATATGGTACTCGATGAGTTAAGAGGTGCATAGATTATACAATATGCAACTTACATTTGTTAAAAATGCTTTTTAGACCCTAGGCCATTGTAATCATACTGCAGACAAGAATTCGAAATTATTGTATTTGTGTAAATTATAACCAGCTACACTTTATTAGTTTTGTTTTGTTTAAAATTTATTATTTTCCTTTTAGCCAAAAGATATGAAATTTGAATATCCAGATATATTTGCGAATAAAAAGGATGATGCGGAAGAGCAACAAAAAGCATTGGGTGATGCAAAGAAAAATTTCCAAAACTATTTAGATCGCAATAAACACAGGACAGATGTTCCCAGCTGGTTCACTATATGAACAAATAATTGTATTTAAGTTAGTGTTCTGTTAATGTAGATGTAATTAGCATGTAATAAATATTTTCTTGATGTTTTACCAAATTATTGGTTCTTATTTATTGCTAGAGTAAATAAGTACCTACCTGCTTTATTTTAAATTGTTACAGATTTATCAAGCTTGTTCTTCACCACTCACTCCATTATAGAGTATTTTTATTGCTGAAAGTTGTATGAACGAATTCTGTAGATTTTTCATTCATATTTTTTTTGTGGATTAAGGGGTTAAGCAAATAAATGTAACTTTCATAATAGAGAATGAATAAAAATGCATCACTAACTTTTTATAATCGCTTTATTCAAATATTTGAATTTGTGAGTACAAAAAGATTGGTTCAAACTAAACCAAACAAGAAACTATTGAAAGAGTATTAATTAGAAAAGAAATTAACAAGTTTCAATATTTGCTACTACAAACATTGTCTCATTAATATTTACATTGCTCTGCAACTCTCCAAGACTTATTACTATAGGACTGGCAATCAACACCATTAATCAACTAAATAGCATTTTTACTCATTTAAATCAATATTTAAATGATATAAAACTAAAATATTTATCATTGTGTATCATATAATGTGTTATATGTATGTATAATAAGTTGCATTAACAAATAACTTTATCACTAAACATTACATCAATAATGTTCTTGATAATAAATAACTTATTGCTTAATGCAACAATATTATTTTTTCAACAACTAATATTAATCACTTAAAAGAAATAAAGTCATTATAGGTTTCCGGAATACTCATCCAAGAACATAGAAGAATGGCAACGGGGGCATTCTCCTATATCCAAGAGGAAAGTTACCTGAAACAAATTACAACACAGATTAAATTTCTTATTGCAATTGACTTATAAACAAGACTGACAAGGCAACATCATCATGTAAACAAGACAAGTTATATGAAAAATGCTGGTGCTATTTAATACACATATATTTATAAAATCCCCTTTACTATACAACAAAACTTCATTTAATCCATTAATACAAATTCTTTTACAAGTAAACTTAATTTTTTTTTAGATATACCTAAATGCCTTGATATGAAAGACAAAGGAGTTTTGTAGTAGAATGACTGCATTTGAAAGAGATTAGAATAATGCATTGTACACTTCCAGAGCAGCTTATGATAAGAAAGAACTTTTCCTTGCCCATCTAGTATACTTGAGAATTTGCACATAGTTCTCGTTTTGTAAATATTATGATAGAAACTCGTATATCACATAAGTATTTTAAATCTAAGTACCTACAGTTAAAAAATATTCTTACCCGAGGATGCATTTCACATTTTAGGCGTATTCTTCCATTACAATAGTAGCCGCAGGATCTGCAAAAAACAATGGTTTTGTCTCTCTTGCAAGAACATTTCTTTGAATAAACATCCTTTACTTCTGGAACACCGCGTCCCAAGCGGTTTGGAATTTTATAAGCTTTTCCTGCAGCCGAAGCCACAACAGGCGTAGATTGAGACTTGGTATCCATATTTTAAATTTTACAACAAATTTATTAACAAGTACTAGTATTTAATATCACAGCTTTTATGTGTTAAATATTTGAGACGACTATTTAAAATATTTGGCGGGTATCAGCATATTATAATGCAGACAAAGACAATGATTTGTCGTTTGACATTGACATAATTGTTGACATAACTTTCTTGACACACCATATCAAAAAGAACAACGAAAAAACAGATTTAATCGAGTTTTCACGCTGTACAATAATTTTATTGCTACAATCTTTGAGTTACATACGTCTAAGAATTCGTAGGTATAAGAAGGCGTCGCGGAGAACCTAACGGGTAACCGGGGCTCCGGCTCGACGTGCAGGAGAAGGAACGGGGTGGTTTTTAGTCAGTAACTGAGTAACAGTGTGACACTCCCTTCCGCCTCACCCAGGCGGGAGCAGTCATTCGATGATTTTCCCCCTAAAAAAAAAGGTATAAGAAGGCACTGCCTATTAAAATTTTGAACCTACTTTGCTAATCATCGGATAGTTAGGTCTACCGTTTGATTTAAAAATGTTTTAGTAATGAATACAGTTTGAAATTAGGCCATTCAATAGGCTAAATCATGCATGTCCCTAATCCCTATACTCATTATACTCTTTGTGCATGTCTCATCAGAACAACTGAACACAAATATTAGCTACTACGGCATACTGACGAAACTACTGGTTGTAGTCTCTTTTCATATTTTTATGCTTGTAGCCAAGTTGGAAAGGATTACGGTGACGACATATTATTTAATATCTATTTATTTATAAGATGTGTTGTCTGATGATGACTACGTCCTATGAGTACTTAATGATGAAATTAATTAGGTCATCACTGTTTAACAAGATAGCTTGACTAATTTGATTCCATGTCAGGGGCCCATAATCGTGTATATACCTAGTAGGTACTTAGTACGCCTCACGATAGGTGTATAATACAATAATATAGGTAAGTACCTAACTAACACATAGTTTGCTATTAAAACATAAAAGTCGTAACTCTTCTCCAAGAAATTAGATTTCGAAACTACTTAATTATGGTACGTTTGTAAAAAAAAATTTAAATACAAGTGGGTACATAACTATCATGACTACCTCCTTATTTAAATACCTAGAACAATTAGAATCTAATTTTAACGGGATTGGTGAAAGTAGTTAAATTAGACATAATACTTTTTTTGATGAGGGAAAATCATCCATTGACTTCTCCCGCTTCGGGTAAGGCAAGAGGGAGTGTCAGACTCTTGCTGACTAAAAACAACCCCGTTCCTACTCCTGCACCTCGAGCCGGAGCCCCGGCAACTCGTTAAGTCCCCCGCAGATCCGTACCGGCATTAGCCCTATTTCCCCCCATCTGTGGTGGTGTGATAGCTCCATGAGGCGCGCGCGGAACGCGACGCGCGGTACGCTCGGGTTAGATATAATACCTACGTGTACAAACAAGGTACATAATACATATTTACCATTACCAACTGATGTTAAAGCGAGATATCTGAAAGAATGATCTTGAAAACACTTGCATGATACTTTTTATGTCCACCTAATGCTAATGACTCGGTAATTATGTTCATTGCTTTAGGATTGACATCGGCTATGTGGCCCTAAGATGTTCGTGAAGCACAATTACCTTTATCACAGCAATAACAATCAACATACTTAATTATTATCACTCGCGTATATCTCACTTCACAGGAAGTAATTGTATTGTTTGTCAAAGGTTTCCGTTAACAAAGTATCATGCAATCTATCTGGAGTGTGTATAAAAATGTGCCTAAGGTGTGAGACGTCAATAGTAGTGACCAGTAAAGATGAACAGCTTGTTTTATTTAACGGTCTTTGCTATTTGCCTAGTGGCAAATTGTGGAACGACATTCGCCGTACCTGCACCATCTGAAGCACAGAAACATGTAGTGAGCAACCCCCTTCATTCATCTCATCGGGTGAGTTACATCCGCGGTTAGCGATAACTATACAGCTATAAAAATTGGAGACTCTGAAAGAGGTTTTTACAACGTTTAATTGTCTATACCTACTACAAGTGTAGTAAGTGGCACTATTATTTTTACAAATATTAGCGCCACTTAGTGATTCGTATCACGTTAAACCACTACTAAGGGACTAAGGGATTATGGTCATTAGGCAATAATATTGATTACCATCAAGATATTTATACAGGATTTTTTTTTATATCACGGCGGTGGCAAAAAATCACACGGCCCACCTGATGGTAAGCGGTTACCGTGGCCTATGTACGCCTGCAACACTTGGAGCATTACATGCGTCTTGCCGACCCTTAAGGATCTTGATAGTTCAGATGTACCCACTATTAATTGAATACTAAGATATTAATTTAACATAAGTAAGCCATGTCTCTACTTCATACGTCAACTTAGTAGAGTAAGAACCTGAAGTTATTTGCAGATTGTTAGAGAAGCTCATGCCAACCCTTCGCTAATGATTATGAAAGAGTCCATGTTTGCGGACAGTTTTTCACGGAAAAGAAGAGAAGCTAAAGGTGGAGGTTCTATGCCGACGAGAAAAGGATAAATTCACAACTCAAAGCATGTTACCTGAAAATTATTTCTACACGACTACAGCAATAATTATAGATAAGCAATTAACATTACTATTTGTACCTAGTTACTTATTACTTAAGAACTTAAGAAATAAACAGATGGCAAATTAAAATATGAAATAACTTATACTTATTTTTTACCGAGTTTTATTCGATTCCTACCTAACACTTATCTTATTTATACATATATGTATGCGTGTAGCCACACCAGCTGCTGCTGACCATCTGTTTTGGCGATAGTGAATAGAGGACCCAAACGCCAATCACTAATATAGGTATTTTATCTTTTATTGAAGGTCTAGCTTTGACTTCCCTAATAGCCCTATTTACGCCTTGCGCCCACGCCTCACGGCTTCAATTTGTTTCAATCACTATACACAACATCTCCAAATGTGCATTTAAAAACCTACTGCAAAAACCTACTATTCAAAAATTGATAGGGTGAAACTTCAACCAACGCTTAATAAAAATGTTATACCTAATCTTGTTATCTCTTATTTTGCACTATTTGACCTTTGTAGGTTTAGGTAGGTACTTAGATAAATAAGTAGAGACCGAGTAGCAACACCTACCTACTCTCTATAAAACTTGAACCTTAAATAGCCATATCTAACCCGTCTAATGCCAAGGGTGGAGGTTGTGGTAAAACATTAATGTAAAGAAGGAAAAGGCTCATAGGTAGAGATTTATGAGCCTTCGCCTTCTGTATCGGACAGTACGGCTGCAGACCATAGTCCAGTTATTGTAATAACAATAGGTAATTAGACGGTTTTGCAATACTCGGGCTCTCTACAAACTAAGTGCTATCTTCATTCATTATAAAATCTGTGGATAGAACTATTTGTTAACTTAAGTGTGCATAAAGACTTCATCTTCCAACAAGGCCAACCACACCCGGGGCACGGGGATAATATTTGTAGTTGGCCAAGATTGTAGAATAATAATAAGTAAAAAAACTGGCATTAGCAGTCATGACAACGTCAACTGTTGACAGTGACATAAAGATAACCTTAAAAAACTAATCTATTATATTTAGAATTTTTGTATTTTGCTGCACATCTGCTACTTCCAAAATGATGAAAAGTCTGAGTAGAGCACCAAACGTAGTATCAAACTTGAAAAATAAAGTTAAGTTTCCTGATAGATTTCAAGGCACCATACTCAAGAAATGGGCAGATTACTGGAAGAATCTATTTGCAGACTATCGTCAAATGCTACAGGATTTAAGGACTGATATTCAAGAAGACCCCGTGAAAGCAATGAAATGGACAGCAGGCTTGGGAGCTTTGTATCTGTTATCTACGAATAACCCTGACGAACTCGATTTTAAAGACTCTCTTAAGCGAATAAACAACGAGACTGTTATGTTAAGCCCTGATTGTCTGAATCCCAAAACAGTGGAACATTTATCGTATCTGGATACATGCTACAACCAGGGTACGATTCATTATAAAAGTTTCGGAATCCTTTCACTCATGTATACAACTGACCTCAATGAAACATGTGATTTGTACAAAGCAAAGTGTTCCTACTTACAACCAACCTATGTAAGTTTACCTTCAAAGATTATTGATGTAGGAATAATGGGTCAATGGTGGAATCTTTACATAAAAACTCATAATTATGATGTTAATTAATAAATGTTGTCATGTAGTCTTTATTAGTATATTGTACAGATGTATCGTTTTAGATTGTTAATATAATTTCAATTGTAATATAGTGTTTCATTGTAAATACATTATTTTACTGACTATTCATCAATTTAAATACTAATTAAAAATTACAATTTACTTTTGAAAAGAGCTATTTTGCGTTTTTATGCAGTTGTATACCTACTTTGTATTGAGCTATTAACTCGTCGAGTACCGGTTTTATAGACACAATTAAAGAACAATAGGTCGCGGTCACCGGTGACCGCTTGGTGTTTGACAGTTTAAATAAATAACAATAAGCCGATTATAATTATAAATAGTTTTCACCACAATAAATTACTGATTAAATTGAATGAATAAATAAAAAAATAATTATCTTGACATCCTGTGTCTGTGACCCATGGAAGTCGATATCTCGCGGAGCAATGTAGGGATAAAAAATAGTATAAAATACTTCTTTGTCAGGGGAAGAATTTATTAAATTAGCCCATAGTTTTGATCCTTATTCAATGCACATATAATAAAACTGTAGAAGTGTAAATTTATCTATACAATACTGGGGTGTCCTTGAAGTAGACGATTAAATGGCACCAAGTGATCGGCAAGTTTCAACAGCTATCAGAAAAATATAGAAAAATTCCAAGTCATATAGTTTTTAAATTACTCAGTCGCACTGAACGGCTGAAGAGACTGAGGTGAAATTTGGAACAGAGGTGCTCTGGAGTAACACATAGGCTACTTTTTACCCCTGGGGACAATGCCTCTGGCAAAAGCTAGTCAACAATATTTTCAGTTTACATTAGCATAGATAAAACATTAAGTAAGTGTTGCTTACCTAATAAATTGAATAAAGGTTAATTAAAATACAGCATATTTGTTTTGTTAAACCCAGAAGCTGCCATTTGATTTAAGTTAGTTATTTTCTATGACAAACAATAATGATGATGAATAACATTAATTCATAAATAAGCTATTCTTGCTAAATGAAACCAAAGAGAACCATCTAGATTCTCACTTTTTAGTAAAAAAAGCAGCACTATAAGCATTGAAGGTTGAAGGTGGTTTGGGGTTTCATGAATGAAATTATTAGTGTTGAAGAATTTTTTGTATTTCAGTTCTTACTAATATGTTAAAACAATTAATGTATAAAATCTATTAAGTTTCACAAATCATCTCATGCTTTAGGTTTTTGACCAAAATGCAATTCTAAAAACATAAATCACCACTAAGTGAACCCTGCAAATATACATAATATATTCTTCTACAAACATTACAACACTGAACACATTCAGAAATGAGTGATGATGATATTACGGAAAACAAACCAACAAACAAAACCTTTTCACTTTCTTGTTACTTGAGGTTAACTAATGTATAACTTTAACATCATTGAAGTTAACTAATGTTTAATTATAGCTTACATGTTTTTATGTTAAATAAAAAATAAAAGTATTTAATATAATATGCTTAAACACAGTGACAGTTCTTTTGGATATGAAATAAAAACATGTAAGCTCAATGAATAAATAAGTGACAGAAAACTTGCACTCCACAAACTAAATAGGCAGATAATTTTTATTTCGCAACAATAGCATTCATAACTAAGACTGGACCAATCATTAACAAAAACGTTTTCTTTAATGCCCAGAGAATTAAAAGAGTTATTGGCTAGACTATGTTCTAATAAAGTCTTAAAAAATATAAATAGTAATTGATTTTCCAACTGTGATTGAAACAAAAACCATTCTTTAATAAAAAACAAATAAAAATCACCACTTTGATTAGGTTTTAAGTTCTTATAAAGTGAAAATGTCATAAAGTTACAGTAATGTAATAAAAACACCTGAAAAAAGTTTCAAAACTTAAAACTTCCTGTCTAAATTAAGAGCAAAAAAAACTCGCAACACCTCTTTAGTTTACTGTTTCTATACTTCAAAATAACAACTTATCTATAAAGTAATCCAGCCCAATATGATCATCTATGACAAAAGCTTCAATGATATTTGAAGTAAATTAAAATTAAACACAAAGGTACAAATACATTGCTCAACTCATTTTGATTAGCCATAGAATACATAAGTTCATGACATACAATCATATCAAGCTGGTAAGGAAATATGGACACATAAATTTTTATAAATCACAATATCACATTTCAAATAGTTGATTGCCAGTGGTAATACTATAATTATTTAATGAATTTACTTGGTACTATATTTAATTCCTACAAGGTAAAGATTATAGGGATTTTACATTGTTTACATGCGTAGGATTAATACTTTATGAATTATCAAAAAAAAATCAAAAGCTTTCTTCCTTTATGTAATTGATACTTTTACAAATTACAATAAAAGTCAAATCATTCCTATAAATTCAAGCCGTACATAAATAAGCAACAAACACTCGAACAATTAGTACAATATTTACTTGAATTTATCCACTGCAGTATGTATTACCAATTACTTGAGATAATTGATAAAATCAGAAATGAATAATTTATTTATATCACAATATTTCAGACTTTGCTTACAAGTTATAATAATAATAATAATAAGCCCGCAGGGCACCTTGAGGCGAGGTGACGGGCATTAGCGATCCCGCGGGCTACCATCATCCCGAGTGCTCCAGGGAGAAGTCACCGTTCCTTCTTCTCCGGCTTGCCTTAATTGGCTGGCTGGAGTGAAAGATGACAAGGAACAGGTCTCCCACCTCTGGCTTGCCTTCATTGGCCGTCCAGAGTGGAGTCGCGAGAGCAGTGATCCTGCTCGGAGGGTAAGAAACTATTCGTAAGTCGCGAGTGGGCCAGGGATGCAGGAGGCTTCGGCTGGAGCAGATGATCTGAGTAGAAAGCGGTGGTAGTTTCTTAACCCTTCAGCCACTCACATTCTCGTTGCCCCTTTGTTGCTATATCTAGCAACCATTCCCGGGGCCCGGTTGGTGAGTTGGCGAGTCTCCGCCTGCCATTTTTACGTGTAAAAATTACATTGTTTCGGCAGGTGCCATAGTCATCCATAGTTCCCAATTTACCAGTCCACAGCAACCCATCCATAGCCCTACCTTTTTTTTTCCATTATTCACAATAGTCCTACACTAACCGGGGACTGTCCTTGGGTGCATTTCCATAGTGCATACAGGGATAGTCGCCGGTTTGTGTGTCCATTACATTTATATTAAAGTTGTCTAAAGGGCCTCTGCGCAGTTGGCTTCGGCCCCTCGTACGCCTCCCAAATGACCGGGACCCTGTGGTCCCGTGAATGGTAAAGACATACATAATAATAATAATAATAATAAACACTTTATTGTACACCACTTACAAAAGACACGAACAAGAAAATAGTAGGTAGGTAAAAAAAAAAAAATAGTTTTGGCATGTTGCACAATGGGCGGCCTTATCGCTTACAGCAATCTCTTCCAGGCAACCTTAGGATGGATAAATAACCGTGAGAGCAGATACCATGTGGGTAGTTCATAGTGTTGAATTAAATACAATGGATATGACAGAACAGTTTAGATACATACATACAATATGTACACACATACATACATGCCTACATACTCATATATACATATATATATACATACACATACATACACAAAATCAGATACATACATACATACATACGGATATGCGGTAGCAGTTACTCTATTGAATCTGTGTTAGATAATGATCTTTTACTTGTCTTTTAAACGAATCCAAAGATTGCGCCCGTCTTATTGATAATGGAAGTGCGTTCCACAGTCGAATGGCTCCTACAACAAAGGATTTGTCATAAAAGGCAGTCGTATGTGTTGGCATCTCCAATCTCAAATTCGCAGTAGACCTCAAGTGTCTTGAATGTGCGTCATGAAGGAACTTAAAACGTTCTTTGAGATAAGAGGGCGTAGCAGGATTGTACAGAATACTGTAAAGAAGTGACAGGATATGCGTATTCCGGCGAAGACGGATAGGAAGCCACTTGAGCTTGTTATAATACAATACATCAAAAGGTTTATATATAAATAAACAATAACTGCTACAACTAGATGAGGTGTGGGACTTCCGTGTTGCGAAAATAATGTTTCATCACAGATAATTATAACAAAGTCTTACAATCATAGATTTCAGTTACAACCGCCTAAACATGAGTACAGTATGTTATATTGAACAACTGCGATTTTATAGCACTCCTATAGTGATAAATATAAATATCATTCATAATTTCAAGGGGTGATTACCATCATAACTATATTTTTCTACATTATGCCATACATTAGTTACGTTACTGGCTATTTCAATACAAAGATGCTATATAAAATTATATGATAATACGAACAAGGTTATACATTCGTTAATCAATACAATATTGCTTTAAAGGCACAAAATTATTTAAATCATTATGCGATGCAAGACTAGGCTTATTGTAAAGAAATGGCAGCAACCTAATAGATTTTGATAATGTCATTAAACATTTAAATTCAGACTCATGTTAATAAAATAACCTAATAACTTCTTCAGACCAAGATAAAGCTAAGATAATACTTTCATATTTCAAGAATTTTGTTTAACTAAGCCATTATAAAGTTCAATGAAATAATTATTTTGCCAGCCAGCCGATCCATGGGAAATGTCATTTGATGTCGAAAAGCTGTTGAATATTTTAAATTTATACCTTCCCAATGAGCTTAGCACAAGCAGTCATACTATCTAATTACTATTTGCTATGAATTCGAAACGTTAATTAGTTCCTCAAGCAGAGTGGACTACATTTGGGCCAAGTTATACAGAAAACAAGTAAATGATTTTTTTCACCTCTTCAAATTACAACCATATTTTAAAACAAGCTAAATATTAGTGCTTCAAATAAAATGATGCTCCCAATCACGTAATGAATAACATTAAAGTCCATACAAACATGCAAAATTAGAAATGAAAAATAAAATCGGCCTTAAATAAAACCTTGATTTACTTTTTACAAGAAATATAAACAAATCACTTGAACAAAACAACTAATTCTAAAACATTTTTCCTCGATAAACGTATGTTGTAACATAATCGTGTTGGATTGCATTGCAAGTCCTGGAGATTGCAATGTTTCGGCTGGTAGGATTGCAATATGGCGTAAGAACAGCGACGTAGACCGGCGACGCAGCGGCTCCTAGAGCAGAATTAGGTCGGGCGCGTGCAGCTCATAGTGGTACATTCCATCGAAGTCATCCAAGTCCTCGTCCAGGAACAGATCCTCATCTATAACGTAGCATTACTCATAACTAGAACATTCAGCAGTTCAGACAACAAACACTGCACCGCGGGAACTCGACTCTTGGGAGCACACACTACCAGGCTGGCCACATCAGTCAGATGCGTCGTTGCTATCTTCGTACCCTAAACATTTTATAAATGCAGTTAATATGACGTTTGCTATTTCGATCACTACGCCTTAATATTATGTTGGAATATTTGAATATGAACGTATTTGATGGGATAAAGTGTGCTACCAAGAATCATAAAGTTTCATCACCACTTTAATATACACTTGAGAGCAAAGAAACGGAGCCACTACGATTTTTTTCTTTTGGGTTTCTTAATAAGTATTATCTGATACAAGTATTTTATTAATTGGTAACGCATGTGGTACAGGAGGCAATTTAGTTTCCTTTAAAATGAGAGTATTTTGTTGTAAAAGGATTTTTTTAAGTTATACAGGGTTCGATGATATGACAAGAAACGCTATTGGCTCCGTTAGTTTACTCCCAAGTGTATATAAAGGAGGAGACGCAGTGTGTGATTAATACTGAACAAAGAATTTTCGAAAAATCGAAAATGTCCAATAATACTTAGCTAGTTCCAGGAATTTAACCTTAGACTTTTTGCTCGGTTTGCCTAAGTCACGCCAGCGACCACTCAATAGAGCCTACCGTTTTTTTGCTCACCAGTTGGCGCCAATGTCAGAAGATGTTGTGTCAAAGGAAATCGAATATCATTTATATCCCGCTGTTATAGATACTTACAAAAAGATATTTGTATCGTTAAAAACTATGCAGCTTTTATAATGCGTGTTTTTATTAATATACATATAGTAGTGATTTAAAAGGAAGGTTTATATGCATAATATAATAAAAAAACACTGAAAATATAATTCTATATGTTTTAATGTGACGTCTACATTACAAACGCTAACTGAAACCTACTAGACATTAGGTGCGCCGTGTACTTTTTTGCCACCGTCGTGGTATGTATAATTATAATTGTATATATATAGTATTACAGGGTCTACAAAGAAGTCCGGATAACTACTTTTTATTTGTGTTCTACACTGTTTTCAAAGCTATTTTCTTCTGTTAATTATTAATCCTTATCTAAGTAAATACGTTCATTAGATAAGGTATTGAACGCAGTTAATATTAATCTATATATATAAAAGAAAGTCGTGTTAGTTACACCACTTATAACTCAAGAACGGCAGAATATATTTGGCTGAAAATTGGTAGGGAGGTAGCTTAGAGCCAGGAGACCGACATAGGATACTTTTTAAATGACATTTTTTTTACTTTTTACCGAAAATCACGAACGGAGACGGGAAAAAATGGGATTACGCGTACGAAGTCGCGGGCAGAAGCTAGTCTGCATTAATACTTAATTGTCTTTAAACTATATAGTAGCGCGTTTCCTCTGGATGTCACTTTTTTCCTGCACCGCGCGGGTTAGTAATCTGTCAGTATTTTTAGGTTCTCCAAAAGTAAAATAAAAAGCAGTGTCAAATCAATTTTCTGGAACCAGGAATATGCAGAAAATGAGCAGAGAAGGCTCTTTCACATCAAAAGAAACATGAAACTACAACTTTGTTCTACACCCTTTTTTATTATTTTATTACTCCACTTTTTTCTTGACGCATTATGGTGTAGATAATTTATATTTTAAATTTACCTATAAAGTATGAGATTTTTCTATTCGAAAACCCCTTCTGACACCAGCGCCCGTAGCGGCGAATTCACACGCGTTAGTCCTCATTAACTATGCAGACAATCAGTAGTGTGATCAAATAATCTTCTAAACTTTCACCACTCTCACCTGGTCCAAAAAAGTCGTCGAAGTCGTCATTTTCGTATAGATCTCCAAGTGAATCATCCGAGCTGTGTTCGAACATTGTGTCGACAAAATCAGGCCGGAGGAGTGGGTTACTGCGGTCATCCACTACGTCTACTGTTAATAGTTTGTGCGTCGGGTAGTCTTGCTGCAGCTGAAAATCATTTCATATTCATAAATAACAATCGACAGAGTATTAGCACTCTGTAAAAATTACCACTTGTCATTTTGCCAGCCCTCAGCCTGTAGCAAAACAACTTTATCCGAAACAGTATTAGTGCATTAAAAGTGTATATTACCTCAATGGGCGAGGCGGCGGTGCCGGCGAGGCGCAGGGTCAGCGGGCGCGGGCGCTGCAGCAGCGCCAGCACCGCGCCCGACACCACCTCCTCCGACACCCCGTCGCAGCCGCTCACGTCCACCTCCTGCGCGGGCCAATACAGTTAATACACGGTTTATCTCTATTAATGCGAACGATTAGCCTTTTAGACTTCAAGACATGCAAGTATTGACTGCGAAATGCTGCTCATGAATATGAGCCTCTAGCGTGGCTTGAAACTAGTCGAGTCCTAGTCAAATAATTACGTGAGTAAGCCGAAAACAATAATATATTAACTGCGAAGTTGCATAAAAGTAGTTCCCCCGCACTGAACTACAGTTGCGGGGAGAGTAATCGAATAATAATTATGTATACCTGCAACATGGGGCACGCGGCGAGGCAGGCGGCGAGTGAGGCTGAGGAGAGCGCCGGGTTACCGCGCGCCGTCAGGCGAGTCAGTCGAGGCAGTGCCGCCGCCGCGCGGACGCCCGCGTCCGTCAGCGCGCCCAGGTACGACACGTCCAGTCGGGACAGACCGCGACACCCGCGACACACCGCCGACACTCCCTCGTCGCCCACTCCTGCACACACACGACTGTACTATACAGCTACACAGGTACGACACGTCCAGTCGGGACAGACCGCGACACCCGCGACACACCGCCGACACTCCCTCGTCGCCCACTCCTGCACACACACGACTGTACTATACAGCTACACAGGTACGACACGTCCAGTCGGGACAGACCGCGACACCCGCGACACACCGCCGACACTCCCTCGTCGCCCACTCCTGCACACACACGACTGTACTATACAGCTACACAGGTACGACACGTCCAGTCGGGACAGACCGCGACACCCGCGACACACCGCCGACACTCCCTCGTCGCCCACTCCTGCACACACACGACTGTACTATACAGCTACACAGGTACGACACGTCCAGTCGGGACAGACCGCGACACCCGCGACACACCGCCGACACTCCCTCGTCGCCCACTCCTGCACACACACGACTGTACTATACAGCTACACAGGTACGACACGTCCAGTCGGGACAGACCGCGACACCCGCGACACACCGCCGACACTCCCTCGTCGCCCACTCCTGCACACACACGACTGTACTATACAGCTACACAGGTACGACACGTCCAGTCGGGACAGACCGCGACACCCGCGACACACCGCCGACACTCCCTCGTCGCCCACTCCTGCACACACACGACTGTACTATACAGCTACACAGGTACGACACGTCCAGTCGGGACAGACCGCGACACCCGCGACACACCGCCGACACTCCCTCGTCGCCCACTCCTGCACACACACGACTGTACTATACAGCTACACAGGTACGACACGTCCAGTCGGGACAGACCGCGACACCCGCGACACACCGCCGACACTCCCTCGTCGCCCACTCCTGCACACACACGACTGTACTATACAGCTACACACACGCATACATACATACTTACATAGTCAAACGCAGGGAGGCAAAAGTGATATTTGGAAACTACACCTCATCGCATCGAAACATAAAATGACCAATTATCAAAATACTCGCTAGGTTCTCCGACAGATATTTTTAATTGGAACAAACTTATTAAACTAGAATGAACATATGTATGAGTTTGATAGGAGGTCGATGTATTTATGACCACATTATTAAAAATGAACGAACTTTACCTGGATGAGGGAAGATCTTGCGAGAATTACAGCTGGAGATGTTGAGTGTTTCTAGTTTGGGACAGCACTGAGCGACTCGTTTCAGTACAGTATTGGTGATGTATATGTTGCGGCTCAGGTTCAGGCTCTTCAATTCAGTTAGGTTACCGATGGCATCACAGAAAGAGTCGTTGCATAGTGGAGAGAAACATGAATCTACTGATACATACTCGCTCAACGAAAGTTCTTCTAGTAATGGAAGTTTGTTGAGGATCATTGGTATTATCTTCCACATTGTGTGCGGACAGACATCCAACTTGAGGCAGGTTAAATTTGGCAATGTGTCTATCGCAGCACAAAGTACAGTGCCTTGAAGACTGTAGCAGTTGTAAAATGCGAGTGAGTTTAGTTTTTGTGGATTTGAACCAGTAAGGAATAATCCTGTCACATGTGTGTTATTCGTGACTGTTAAGCTTTCTATGCATGATTCGCTTTTGACTAGATGTACTAAACTGGAATCTGTTAGCTGCAAAAGAAGAAACAAGAAGTTTAATGAATTTACTATTTATTTATCATAATGATATATTCGACTCATAAAATAATTTCAGAGGTGTCAAGACTATCAAGTCAACACATAATAAAATAGGTGTATTTCTGCCCACTACCTACCCATGCAGGAAATAGATAGTGTTACAGATAATTTGACTTTTTTTCATACATTTTCAGGCTCAGTGTGTTGAAATTGTAAATCGTATGTATACCTTCAACCTTCTGAACTTAGACTTTAGAGAATATAATAATTATAGTAAAATCCTTACCTTATTGCATGACACAAAGGATAAAGTTTTTAATTGTTTACAACCGTAGATTAATGGATTCCAATTTCGCGTGTGCATTCCAACAATCTGAAACAAGTGTTGCCATATAGAAAAGCTCATACTCATCATAAAATAAGCAAAACCAATAAAAAAAGAATTTGAGAAATCGGTAGCCGATACAGCTGTTCTAGTAGTTTTTTTTTAAGGGGGGAAAATCATCGAATTGCTGCTCCCGCCTGGGTGAGGCGGAAGGGAGTGTCAGACTCTTACTGACTAAAAACCACCCCGTACCTTCTCCTGCACGTCGAGCCGGAGCCCCGGTTACCCATTTTTGCCCTTTACTTTACATTGTCCGTCTGTGTCTACTGTCGCGGACTCGCGGTTGGTTAGACAAGACTGTCTAACCACAACAATGTATACCTACCTATATAACCACAATAACAGTTTGATGTACCTTGAGCTCCTCGAGGTTGGGGCAGAACTTGCCGACGATGTGCGCGGTGCGGTCGTTGAGCGCGGACCAGTGGTGGTCGATGTGCAGGCGCGCCAGGCCGCCGCCCAGCCGCTGCACGATGCGGCGCAGCACGGCCGTCGTCAGCATCACCGGCACGTGCTGCCACCACGACGTCTTGAACATGCGGATGCCTGCAACACACACCTCTTTCTAATACTTTCTGTGTACTTTTAGCACACTACAAATGAAAATAAAGGAGATTCTCAGTTTAACCTATATGTACGTATATACAACATGTAACTTAAATAACGCACATCCTGAAAATAGTTTGTTCAGAATCGTAAACTGAATCGATTTATATAATTTTTAGTATAGGTAATTTTTATCCCAAAAATAATTAAAACTACGGAAGTTATTGTAATATTAACCCTCTATTGTTAAAACAAATCGAAATGGACCGTAAGTCAAAGCAATAAGACTTTTAAAATCGCAGTTTTATTTGTATTCATACAAATTCTATCATTCAATACAAAATAAAGAAAAATAAACCTTATGACAAGACCAGTAAGGATGCATATCATGTTAAATTAAAAATTTAGTGTATGTATTATGATTATAACATAATATTCTAATTGGGGTGTTTGAGGGTGTGTGTTACGTTACATGTTGTCTATACAGGGTGACTTGTAACTCGACGTATTCCTCTCGGGAGGTGATAATACAACTAATTCCCAACAAAATTAGCCCTGAGGTCTCTGGTCCGAAAGTGACTAGTTTCTGAGATATTCAACATTTTCAGCTGTGATGAAAAAATCCCCATCTAACTACAAAAACATCAATAACAGCTATTAAACCACTGGGTTGATTTAAGTGATATTAGTTTTAATTTGTTATAAATACATCAATACACATTTATTAATACTAATACTGGTAGACTGCCTCGTTGGCCGAGTGGTCGTAAGTGCGACTGCCGGACAAGGGGTCTCGGGTTCGATTCCCGGGTCGGGCAAAGTATTACTGGGTTTTTAAATATTCTCAGTAGTAGCACGGAGTCTGGAATTGTGCCCGGTATATGGCAATAGGCTCACCCCCTATTACATGGGACTCATAACATAAATAGTGAAAAGTGGGTGTTACATTGTACAGTGGTATAATGTGCACCTCTGCCTACCCCTTCGGGGATAAAAAGGCGTGATGTTATGTTATGTTATGTTAAATGTTAATACTGGTAGAAATATCATTCGTTTTAATGGCGTATGCTGTAATTTTATATTTACAGGATAAAAATTAACCTATTTGTTACTGAATGAATGAAATTTCATTAAAATCCGTTCAGTAGATTTTTATGAAAAAATAATAGTCATCCATCCACATGTCTTCACAAACTTTTAGAATATTAGTAAGTAGGATTGTAAGTTTATTCAGTACAAACGATGGCCAGACTTTTGGTGGTACAAGTTTGTGCACCAATAATCATTAAATAGTAATTAATATTCATTAATATAAATTAAATATAGATTCAATTTACGTACAGAACAATTCTTTGAGTGATTTGAAATTGTTATAATGTAATTTTAGATTTTTATGTGGTGGAAGTAAATAATGGCTAAACTAGTGGATATTTGAAATACATAGTATATTTAATGTGCTCAGGCTACCTTTACAGAAAATAAAAAGCGTGAATATTTAAAAGGTAATATTTAACATTTATTTAATGATGTTAAATGTATATTATAATCACATATTACGGTAGTCGTAGTCAAGAGACGGCCCTTTGTAATGTTTATAGTAGGAAAATGATGGAACGAATGAATGACCCAATGAATTGACTACTTGACCAATCGTGTCAAATGCTTTGTCTATCATAAATAACATGGTCTCCTCCTCTTTACCTGCAAGGTACTCGCGGACCATATTTTGCCAAGTTTTACTGACTCGTTCAGATCGTATCAGGTCTCTGATGGGAACATAAGACATGATGTGTGCTAAACAATCCCTGTTCAAAACATCCAGTATTGTGTATTCAGGCGTTGTTTCACTCTCTTTCGCATCTTCTTTTGATTCAGGGATCTCCTTTAAAAAAATAGAAAAGTAATTAATATGTTAAATGTATGAAGTATCCAAGGAGTATCTACTTATCTTTTAATATTTAGGTGTCTCTCAATAGTTCTTTATATTGTATAATGTTACATCTGTGACGTCTTACCAATGGTGCATCTGTAGCACTAGTTGTTGCTTCCGCTGCATCCCCATTGTCTGCTACCCATTCCGAGTTACTGACTTCTGGAAAATTACAATAATTAACTATTAATACAAACTAAACTCAAATTTAAAACACATAGCTTTGATATTGGTTTGGTGTAAGGTGTTACTGTATCAATAAAATATGTTAACCTGGTGGTTGAACAGAGTTTTCGGTAGTAGTAGCATGTGCCTCAGACCGTCGCTGGCCGCGGGGCTTCCAGCGCCCTCTGCCATCAGCATCCTCAGCAGGCTGGTGCCAACTGTCTGCCGGCGATATTCTCAGGTTACGACCTCTCAGTGTCTTCTCATGACCTGGGGCTTGCAGCGCTCTGAAAATGTAGGTGTAAAAAATTAATATAACTAAAACATTGTTGTTTACATCATATACTTTGAATGAATCATCATGTTTTATGTATTTAGTAAAATGTCACAATAATATGTAATAAAGCTACTATTTCAATATTACTCACTTGTGTGCATCAGCTGGATTGCTGTAGGTAACAAATGCGTATGTAGGTGTTGGTGTTTTATTGGGACCTTTATCTCCCATCCTTAACCAGCAGCTTTTGATGAAACCGTAAGGAGCAAACACACCAAATAACTCCGATCTGGTTGTCTAGAAAAGTACAGTTTATATTATAAATATAGTACATGCCTTATCAACATGTTGAAAATAAAATATCTATTGAAGTTTCCCTCCTGCCCCAAATCAGGCATAAAAATTACAATTGAAAATTACCACACATATTTATAACAGAGAATGCCATGTGGTATTTTTAGTTAAATAATTAAAAATGCCACATTATAATATAATTAAGTTGTCCTAATTAAGTAAAGATTAAAAAATACCACAAGTATAATTATTTTACAATAATAATTTACCACAATGTTAGACAGCAAGATTTGTTAGATGATATACAGAAGACGTTTTTAATTTAGATCTTGCGCTAACGAAGACGAAGACGAAACTAACCGAAATGACGCGAGTATAAACTGACGCGGGTATGAAGAGGCTCAGGTACAAGGTGGCGCAGATCCGAGCGCGTGATTGGTGCGTTCGACAATACCAACCTCCCCCTGCCACATTCTGTTCACACCCGATCAGGGTTGCCGTATTCTATGGATATTGGGCCATATTTTGTAATTATTTAAGGTTTACGGCAACAAATGTATTGCACACCATGGTGAAGGTGATTGAAAAAAAGTTGATTCCTACTGAAAACGTGTTTCAGAATTTTTTTTTTTTCATATTTTTAGTAAAATTTTTCCTTGATTTTTTAATAATTTTATGAAAACTACCAATCTTCTGTTCAATAATAACTTAAAGCCAAACAAAATATTGCTACTGCATCCGAAAATATGAATATGACAAATGGTACATTTCGGCACTTTTCCCTGCCAAGCACGGCAGCCCAAAAATCCTCACTGCAACACTTTTCCCGATGGCACTTAAAGAGCACTAGTTTAATTATGTTTTTATTATGACATGTTATTGTTTTTATTTGATGCCAAGAAGCCCGGGGATAGTATTTTTATTTCAGTTGAGTTTAGGATGTAGCTAATTTAAATGGCGGAATGCAATTGAATTATTAAATTATAATAGTGAAATAGAAGATTATTTGCACTTTTATCATCAACAATAACAACATAACATAACATAACATAACATAACGCCTTTTATCCTCAAAGGGGTAGGCAGAGGTGCACATTATACCACTGTACAATGTAACACCCACTTTTCACTATTTATGTTAGAGTCCCATGTAATAGGGGGTGAGCCTATTGCCATATACCGGGCACAGTTCCAGACTCCGTGCTACTACTGAGAATTTTTTAAAAACCCAGTAATACTTTGCCCGACCCGGGAATCGAACCCGAGACCCCTTGCTCGGCAGTCGCAATTGCGACCACTCGGCCAACGAGGCAGACAATAACAAAACATACTAAAAATTCAGAGTTTGGGATAAGTAAAGTTGTAAGAAAGCCTAGCTTAAAAAAGTAACACAATAATACGAGTAAGGTAAAACAGAAAACAAAGCAACCAATTTTTATATGCACTATGGGAATGATGCAGGAACTGATACACACACCATTAGAAGAAAATCTTGCTAAGTTACATGTCTAAACACAACTGGACATACATGCATCATTAAAAAATTACCACATGTATTTGCATGACAATGTAAAATTATGTCAAACTATTGTGACTAAAAAAAATACCACATGCATTTACTATTTAAAATTACCAAATATTTTAACAAATTTTGACTGATTATACTTGGTTAGGGCCATTGTTAGGTATGCCTCAGCCAGTATACCCTAACCCAGAAAAAACTGAATTTGGAGCCAACCAATAAACAAAGCCCGGGCTAGTGGCTAAAGGCTTTATTACTTTACTAGGTTCAACACTGGGTATATTTTTAAACTAATGACAAAACATCACATTACATACCTTTGGGGGTAAATTTGAGACATATAGCTTCCGTATAGGTATTCCATCTTCAGTATGTGTAGGAACATACTTTAAGCCATAAGGTGTGACATCATAGTTTGAATTGATGGCATCTGGAAATGTTAATACTAATATTTGCTCACTCACATGTTTGAAATCAATTTATCAAACTACTACAACTTGAATACCTGCGTATCTCGTCTAAAATTTTCTATTGACAAACATCATAGCAGGTGAGCATAACATGTACAAAATTACCACGGAAAAATCTTTTCATAAAAATTGACAAACATGCATCAAGTCAGCAGCATTGATAGTTTATTGGGAGTATAACATCCTTTAATACCTAAACAAAAACACATAATGATAAAAGGTGTCTGGTGCAAATAAATACTTACACAGTTCTCGACGAACAACGTGAAGTATATCCGGATTGAGAAATCTCTCCTCTTCTTCGTAAAACATGGTGTTATCTCACTATTTCGGATGGCAGACGGAACTTCGTTGTTACCAACGATTAATAGTCGAACATGATATCATCAAAATATAAAGAAACACAGAAAATTTAGAGTAAATACTCAAAATAAAATTGATAATTGCAAACGCAGTCAACATACAACGGCCGTGTTATTTTTTAACAAACAATGTTGCCATTTATAGAGATCTTAGATTTTTTTATAAAAATAAAATTGAATGTACTGATATTGCAACACAGTACAAAAGTCTGTCTCATGCATAGTCCTTTTGCATATATATTGCATTGTCAATTTTGTGGATCATAGTAAACCATAGATATATAAGTAGTAAACTTTAAATTGTAGACTTATATCGCTTATCAGTCGCCTGCGTGGAAGTCGCCAAGGTATTCTGACTGCTATAGCTGGTAGACATGACTATCCATGTCCATTGATGTGGAAATTAGTGCAGCGGACTAAGTCCCTGTTTACTATTGCTTATTAATATTGTACTTAAATAGTTCAAACTCAAACTCAAACTCAAACTCTTTATTTGCATGTTAAGGTAATACATACAGGTCTTATGAAATAACAGGCACAGCTTAACGGCCTTTTTCAGGCGTTGCAAATTTTAGGGGTGTCACCAGCTTATTATAAATTACATTTTGGTTAACATTTTTTTACATATTTATTTGTTCGGAATATAGGTAAGTACTTAAGGTATATAATATATTAGTGGGTAAGTGCAAAATGTAAGTGGGTATTCTTAAAATGTATAGTATATTGTATATACATAGAATATTTATATTTAAAATGTATAGTATGTTGGTGTGTGCTTGTGGGTGTATGTATGGGGTAGGTTTAACATTTAATTTTGGTGTTATATTTTTCTTCGAAGAATTCTTTTGTCGAGTAAAAGCATTTTTGTATTAGGAACTTTTTTAATTTTCTTTCAAATATAATTTCTTTAGTTTCGTTTTGTAGGTCTTTAGGTAATCTATTGAATATTTTGATAGCCATGTAGACTGACTTTGGTTAAGCATTTTAATTCTAGATGGTGGTAGGTACAGTCTGTTTTTATGTTTAGTTATATAGTTATGTATGATTGTGTTCTTCCCTTACTATTAATTTGATGGATCTCAGTTATGTGAATAAATAAATATGATTATACTTTGAATTATCAAGTAATATACTATAAATTAATAAGACTGCACGGTTGGTGCGGTGGCTGGGCAACCGGCTGCTGTGCAACGTGTCGCGGGTTCGATTCCCGCACCGAACAACACTTTATGTGCTCCACAAATTGTTGTTTCGGGTCTGGGTGTGATGTGTATGTGAAATTGTATGTTTGTAAACGCATCCACGACACAGGAGAAAATCCTAGGGTAGGGCAACGATAGATATGTTTAAAAAAAAAATATCAATTACATTGTATATCAAGGATGGTGAAATTACAAATATTTGATCTTTGATCAAAACAAAATCGACTAAATGCATGACATCTTTAATATCTCTATGATCTCTACTCTATTACACAATAGACCACTGAGTAATGAATGAATGATGATAATATTAACCAAAGAGTATAAATTTGATGACTTTTCGTGTGACAGTGTAACACCCAGTACAAAGTAATGGTAAAAACACTAAAATGTACTCTGTGCCCTACATTCTTGGTTGCAATTTTGTTGCTTGACGTTTGACTTTTGATTCATTTGATTGTCTTCGATCCGTTTTGAACATAAAAAGAAAACATTCAAAAATTATTGGTACTTTTGAGCAACACGTTGAAAATAATTTAAAAATATAAAGTAAATTAAATAAACATACCAAAAGACATGCAAGATGTCAGGAAAAGAGCCAAAAGTAAGGATAAAAATGCGTGTGAAAGAGACATTGCGAAAAGTAATGAAAATAATGTAAATAATGATAAAAGGCCGTGAGTAATTAAAATTGATTTGTTTGAAAAAAGAAATTCATACAATACTTAATTCATGTAAATATTGCTTAGGTATACTATGTTCCCCAACGTCAATATCTTAATTACAATTTATCATTAAGTATTTTTATCTTTCTAATCTGAAAACAAATACGAGACTACTTTTTAAATAGTGTCGTATAAAGATAATTTTTATGATAAGTATATAATAATAAATATCAGTATTCCAAGGAATAAAGAACTCGTTTACGTTTATTACATTTTATGTAGTACATAAAATGTAATACATCACATCAAAAAAATTGTATTTTATTATAATTTTTAAAATAATTATTTTTGCAGAACTACAAAGAGAAACATATCGTTAAGAATAATTTCTCGTGTGGTGGTTATATTTTCTCTACTTATAGTAGTTTACTTTTCATCTAAAAATGATAAAGTAAGGACCTTTGCTAAGCAATCGGAATTACTACCAGGCAAGGGCTTAGTTGTTGACTGTTCTCCATCATACAAGGAGGAAGTGGAAAAATATGAGGGCTGTGTTCCTAAAGAATGCAAAAGATTCATCACAGATAAAGTGATATCGGTGAGAGAAGCAGAAGAACTACTGGTTATAGCAAAGAAAGGCCTCAAGCTGGGAGGCTCCTCTGGTGGGGCCTCAATCCTAGATTTACATAGTGGAGCTCTATCTATGGGGCAGCACTTTGTCAACATTTACAAGCGTGAGGATGCTAAACACATATTCAGTGAAACTGACTTTAATATCTATAGAGTAAGCATTATTTATTCCAAAAAATTGGTAAACTAAATTATAAATATTTTTCCTATATCCAAGGTTTCTTATATTACAGGTAATCAAAGAGAAAATTAAATATGCTGTGGCTCATCACTTTGGAGTAAAACCTAACAAAATATTTCTGACACATCCAACATTTTTCTCTGAAATAACATCCAAGAAAGCAGTCACCATGCATGATGAATATTGGCATCCTCATGTTGACAAAGTATGTAAAAAACATTTTGGAATAAATAAAATTACTTTTACAAATCAATAGGTATCTGTTCCTAAGAGGGGTTATAATATACCAAGTTAATTTTTAACTCACTTTTCCTCATTTCAGGAAACATATAAATCATTCCACTACACAACTCTGTTATATCTTGGTGATTACAACATCGACTTCAAAGGTGGAAGATTTGTATTTGTTGATGACAAATTTAATAGAACAGTAGAACCAAGAAAAGCCCGTCTCAGTATGTTCACCAGTGGCCGTGAAAATTTACACTATGTTGAAAAGGTGACATCTGGCATCAGATATGCAATGACAATATCATTCACTTGTGATCAGCAATATGCTATTCAAGATCCTAGTACAAATAATATATAAAGTCTAACATTCCAATTGTATAATTCAGTGTTTTATTTTTATAGAAAAACTGCTTACATAATATGTATATTATACCCTACATTACCTAGCTACCTTCATTCAGGGCTAACTTGGCTAACAGGGCTAGCTTATCTAAAGTACCTAGTTTTTTTTAAATCCACCTTCATATTGCCAACAACAGAGACCGACACCTTTAAGCAAGGTATCTCGACAAGGTAGTCCTACTTCTAAAATATCTTACAAAAAATCAAAGAAAACTAAACTAGGGCTAGAGTCGCTCATTTTGTATGATTTTGTTTAGCGTTTAAGCAATTTGAAACTAAAATTCGTTTTCTTTATCTTCTCATACACTTCCGATTAATCTGCGAGTATTGTGTTAACGCGACCGCGCACGCTGCTCATGAGGAAGAACCCCTCTGTGGTTCGAAACTAGTAGAGCTTTTCTCAGTATATTCACGTTTTGTAGTTAATTTAGTATGTCTCACGATAGACATTATAATATTGTGTTATTATTGTCATTTATTGGTTTGTACGTTGTTTGTATACAACATAATAAGTTATAAATCCGCATTTGTGCGCAACTAAACATATTTTAAATTAATTTTATGCCAACTGTGGTATAGACTCATTAGTTATTTATCAATAATAAAATCATTTTTTTCTACCGGCAATGCCGATATTATTGACATTTTTTGCTTGTGGCTGACTTCGTAGCGGTTGATATCAAAACAAAACATAGTCGCTTTCGTGACGTTGTTGACATATTTTTTTAAAAACAAAATATAAAACATGTCACAAAATTCATAGTTTTTGAAAAAGCTAAATTTCAGTGTAACTGGACCGTTCCAAGCGTATTTGATACTCAAAATTTTTGTTTGGAGAGTTACACTAAGGTATGTTATTAATTTGATGCGCAAATTGTAATTTTGGCATACTTCGTTATCGGCTCCGTTTACATTTCTCCAGCGCGCACGACCTTGGTTTAATACTTTAAGAATTTGTTATTTATTTTATTAGATAATTTAAATGGACGGGTCTACAGTGGACCACAGCGATTCAGATTCTGGAGAGAGTTGGACTCTTTTAGAACATAGCCCTGCGTGTGAAGATGCTCCAGAATTTTCGGAAAATGTTATACCTGAACAGTAAGTTCTTCAAGGTCTATTGTATCAGTAATAATAACATTCACTCCGCCTACTGGCATTTCGATAACACACCTGCAATTCAAGTTTGTCCTTGACCTATTGTGAACTACTTACGTCTCGATTCTAGACCCATTTCTTCAGATTTCGTAATGATTGGTAGTATGTTAGCTTAGAAGTTACTATTTATAAATTTTATGATAACATAATTTTATACTCGCTCATTAATACTGGTTTTCATTAAATCAGTAACTACATTTATTGATGGTAATATCAATTAGATCTAATAACTATTTTATTCTTACAGAGTAATTATTGATACACATCTTGATAAAGATGAAGACACGGATGGAATATCTGTCATCAGTGACAGTGAGCCAGAGTCATCAACTCCTTGTGAAATTAATTATGAGAAATGTCTTGAAGAAGAGAGCCGTCCAACAGAAACAACAGATACTCAATTTATTTCGGTTAATCCACTTGCTCCCAATATTGAGAATCATCATGAATCTATAAGGTGTGAGAATAATTTTCTTGGAGAAAATACTGGTAAACATAAAACATATGTTCATAGAAGGAACAAAAGGCTTAGCACAGTACTCAACATTATTATGTTGGGGAGTGTCATTACTGCTGCAGGAGTTGCTATTGGCCATATGTGGGGTGCTCGAAATGAGTGTTCAGTGCATACAACACCCTCAATCAACAAAATATTGTCCAATTTATATAAGCTGCAAGAAGAAAATGCTTATCTACGAAATAAATTGAAAGAACTTACACTTGTGAGCAGCATCCAAATGCAGAGAAAATTAAATGTAGAAAAGATACCATTCAAACAACAGAGATGCAAAAAGATATATGAGGAGCCACTCAACAGTAAAAATACAGAACAAATCACAAAATGCATAGATGATCATATCAATATTGAAAAAATTTTAAACAGTCATGTGATACAACCAGAATATGAAAAGGAATTTATGAGTGACATTGAGAAATTAAAAAATATTTATCAGCAAAATAAAAGTTGGTTGGATGATGAAGTTGCAAAAAGAATGAAAATTGAAGAACAAACATTAAAAAAAATGGTTAACAACATGAAAACACCATTAACAAGTATAATAGAAGAGCAAAAAGTGATACAAGATGAAAACGTCAAAGAGCAGACAGATTTAAATAGTTCAGGTGATGCTGAACCAGTTCAACCCAATGCTGATAATAAGGGCATTCCAAATGAACCTGGGAAAAAGTTTACCTATGCTGACTCATTAAAATCTGGACATAAAATGCAAAAGAGAGATACAAGTAGTAATTTAGGCAACTATAAAGAAACCAAAGATCATGCCATAAAGCGAAAGAACAAAAAAGACCATGATGTTATTTTAGACATTTTAAGTGAAGAGGAACTAAAAAAAGATGATCGATATGTTAGCCCAAAAGTTAAACAAGACCTAAAAAAGCGTGATAGACAAAAACTGCACAAGAAACAGAAGAGGAGAAATAAGTATGAACAATGGGAAATGAAAGGAGGTTACTTGAAAGACTATGACGAATTTTCAATAACATCATCTCAAGAAAATGAGTTTGTTCTTAAAAAACCAGATAGGAATGTTTTAAGTCGAGATTTTGAAAAGAAAAACTATATAAGTCAGTTTTCAGATGTGGATGATGATCAAAATAATCCAAATAATAAGAAAAACGAAAGTAAGCCTTCGAAATCTGATAAAGCTAGTAAAATAGTAAAAAATGATGATTTAAATTGGTTTGACAAGAGAGCCGTCCTTAGAACAGAAGCTCGAAAAAAACTGGAGCATGAGCTATTTGGTGAGACAAGCCCCAACAACGCTGGTTGGTACTTCCGACGCATGCAAAGGCGGGAACAGTGCCGTGCTAAAGGCGACAACAGCACTCATAAGAAGCTTTCTAGAAGGAACATGAATTTTAAAATGAAACATTAATAGTTTAGCAATGATGTTATTTATAATGAATTACTAACAATTTCAACACTTACCGTTAGGTGTGTAGAATTAGAATAGTTGCAGTCCTTGAAATCTAAATGTAACTTAACTATTTTGATTTATCGCTGTTATGTGGTCAAATATATACTTGCATATGTAACAGAAAATAATATATATTTTTTCATTTCGCTTTACATTAGATAATCATAGACAGAGATTTATTCAATGTTTGGTCGCGTAACAGCGTAAAATACACCGTAGTTATATTTTACGTCACTATTTCGGACTTATACATACAAGCAAAGTAGTTTTAAAAGTTTGCCACAATCTAACTATAAACACTAATTTATAAAATGCTACAACTTTAGTTAATTCAGAATTACTCTTTTTGAGCATTTTATTATAAAAATACTTGCATTTGCTAGATGAAGAATTTAGAGTATACTTATTGGAGTAATTGAATTGTTCATGCAATTTTTAATACTATTCTATTTATTTATATTATAGTATAGCTATCATATTTTTATTGTACTTACCCTTATGGACTTGCCTCCCGTGATAATTAGAAGCAGTATTTTCAAAATTACCAGGTAATAAATACATTTAAAAATTTGCTTTAGTATTTATTTAAATGTTTCTCATAAAACACTATTGACAATGGACAAATAAATCTGTCAAGCAATGGACAAATAAGCTAAAAGTAACTTGAAACAATATTTTGGAAGAAAATATTAAACTTTTCAGTCTTAAAATAAACCGGTAAGAATAAAACAACTAGATGCCTACATCAATAATAATGAGAAAAGAAATACACTGACATGATTACACTTCATTACATTGTATTTTAATTAGTATGGATATAATTTAATCATCTCCAATAGCACCGCTAAACACGAGGTTTATAGCAGCATTAACATCTCCTGAAAAAAAAGTTTAGATTGAATGAAAACACTGGGTATTTTTATTTAGTTTAACTTGATCTCAACGTGTTGATAGCAGAATTAATTAGATGTCTTTGTCTCATACCTGAGCAAATAAGCAAAGCACGTATGTTGAGGGCATCGTCTAGCAAGCCCATTTCGTGCATATGATTGAGCTGTGTTGAGAAATCTTGACCAGGTTCCCTCGCCACCGGACTTTGTGAAGACGACGCTGTAACATTTGAATTTTCTAGAACCAGTATTTTTTATTTGTGGCTATCATACAAGGTATTTGTCCTTTGTTCTATCTACCTGCTGTGCTCTGATCCATTGGAGTGCCAGCAGTGTTCCTAGCGCTACCAGCTCTGTTCATAGCCTCTGAGATTGCTTCGCTGAACATCTCCGGTGTTATCAGGGGGCGTGTCGAACCTGGACCCAATTTAAAATATAATTTATTTTCACCCTTACATTTTTAAGTCATAAGAATTCACCGAAACAGAATCAAAATATAATTTTTCCAATTAACAATATTTCCTTAGATTGCAAAGTTTGTAGTAAAGTGCAAAACTCTCGAACGGCTATGAATCAATTGGATACTTTGTTTTTCGTCTTATTTCATTCCAATCGTGTCTATGATTAATCTGTGGAAATTATTTCTATTGAAGCGGGAATGGATCGCTAGATTCATATGAGTATCTTTTATTAGTCTAGCTTACCTACGCCAGTGGGTGTGCCAGACTCAGTGGCTGATGAGGTGGTCCTGCTGGATTCGCCGGCAGATTGCAGTAATCTCAGTAAACTGTCGTTACTTCCCGCAGCTCGACTGCTCGTAGATGACACAGCTTCTGTTGCTGCCTAAGTCAGAAACACATTTTATCATTTAATATTATTGATGTATTAAAAAATAATTGGAAGTACTCTTATTTTAGGATTTATACACTTTCCCCTCCATTCGATTCTCCTAAAATGATTAATTTATTAAACTACAATAATATGGAAAAGTAGATATCAACATGACATACTGGTAGAAATACTGATAAATACGTAAAACGAATTGAATAAAAACCTGTAGAGCAGCAGCAAACTGCTCATGAGTGATGGGGTTCCTTTCACCTTCCTCATTCTCTTCCTCATCAGCATCTTCATCCTCAGATAAAGCTTCCAATGAATATGCAAATCCTGAAGTTGGCACTGAAAAGTTAGTAGTTAAGTATGTAGTAATTCGCCTTTTTTAATATACATAGTCAGTGCTGAGTATTTTTGTTTATATATAGACTTATATCTACTCCATGAAATCAATTTCGTTTTTGTCACACGGCAAAGCAATTTGTCACAAAGAGAACTTTTTATGTATAAAGTAAAAACAAAAAAAATAAAAAATAAAAATGTCATTTCATGAAAATACGCATATGAAACCTTAGATGTAAATTCGTAGGCACTATTCGCATCGCATTTCTCGTCGGGTGCGAGGATAAATACTTCTTCGAGAATTACATGATGTGATGTTTTGATAATGTACTATGAGATCACATAAGCTTTCGAAGTTTGCTATTTGCAATGGTACACCAGATATTTTATTTATTTGTAAAACTGTTGTATTACCATGATAAAATCATTTTACTTAGGGGCGAAAACGAAATAGATTTCATGGTGCATGAAATTACAACTATGGTAAATCACATACCACTTTCATTAGATGAACTAGTATTAGACCGTGAACGCACAAGCCTCGTCAGGTGTCGCAAAGCTGCTGGTAATTGAGGATGAGCGGTAGCACCTCTCCTCATTGTGTGAATGTTCGCTCCTAGCGCCGCTAACAGTTCGACCTCATGTAGAATAGATAGAGCCACACAGTCCTCTCCAATAGATGGTGCTTGTTCAACAATCTCAGCCATTGCAGATTCGTCATTTAAGAGCTGTAATCAAGATTGAATGCATAATTTATTTTTAGAATCAAATTTGTTGGTGCAGTTGGTCTTTGGACAACCTGCCTGCTGTGTAATGTGTCACGGGTTTGATACCTGGACAGATCATTTTTGGTGTATTCACAAATTGTTGTTTCTGATCTAGTTGCAATGTTTATTTATATGAAATCATCTGTTTAACAATGCTTATGACACAAGAAAAACTATATAAAATAAATAATATGTTGTTTAAAATAAAGCTTACCTGCATTGCTCTTGTCCAGCCAGGAGCATTAGGGGTGCATCCCAATGTCCTCAAAGATGTGTTGAGCTGCTGCAGCTCAGCATCAGAGTATGTTGGTGGTGGTGCTGCTGCAGCCTGCACCTTCTTCTTTACCACATGAATCATCTCACCATTTTTAACACCACTATCTTGAAGAGTGACATCATCTTTCAAAATTTTCCCATGGTGTATAAGTTCTGAAATTTTTTTAGTGAATTTATTTATTCATAACTCGCATACATTTTTATTACTGTACATGTAAGTGTTACTGTATGTGTAATTATTACTTAACATATAACATAACATCACATTTTTTTATCCTCGAAAGGGTATATTATGGCACTTAAAGCCACTGTAAAATGTAACATCCACTTTTCCCCATTTATGTTATGAGACCCATGTAAGCTTATTGCCATATACCGGGCACAATTCCAGACTTTGTGCTACTATACTTTGCCCGATCCGGGAAATTAACCCGAAACCCCTTGCCTTGTAATCACACTTGCAACCAAAGACTATTACATAATTTAATATGTTAATTAATCTGTCAAACACCAAGCGGTCACCGGTGACCGCGACCTATTGTTCTTTAATTGTGTCTATAAAACCGGTACTCGACGAGTTAAAAAATAAAAATTCTTATAAATGCCAGTTTGTGTGCATGTAAGTAGGTATATTTGTTTATTACTTTTATATGCAAAACTGCTGAATGGATTTGAATGAAATTTAGAAATAATGATAAATTTTATTGTACCTAGTTAATAAAACATTGGTAAATTTTTTATCCCAAAGATGTGCATGAAGTTGCAGACAAAAACTAGCGACATTGTAATAATGTATATTCTATTTCCCCAATAATTGAAACACCTTACCTAAGGAAGCTGATGGAACATTTGTTTTCTTTTCTGCTTCACTTTTAAGACTATCCACAGTATTGTCTAATGCAAAGTTTTCAATTTTAAACCGTTCTATTGGGCCAGGCTTTATCTTAATGCCCAAAAATATGCAGGGTTGACTGTCCATAGTTATCTTAATTAATGAAACCTGAAATTATGATAGCTTCGCAGTTAATAAAATCTTTGTTCAGTAAAGAACATATGTTGATCCAAAAATTATGCTATAATCACAGTTGCTATAATTTTATTAATCGTTAGTGTTTAAGCGTTACTTCGGAAATACGGTTTAAATATCTTGAACTACAACTAGGTATTTTATTAGCACTACATGAAGTTAAATAATATGTACTAAAAATACAAACAAAAAGCAACAAGAATTACGGTTTGTTTTTATTTTGTACTTACACTTATTTAGACGTGTTTAACACTTTTTAATAATAATGCTCCAGCGGTTATACGTTCTATTAATCTTATTTACAGTAATGTACACTGTCTACCTACTACTTTATTTTGATTCACATCGCAACATTCCTGATTTCAGAATTCAGATTTTTCGCCCGTCATCATTCATAGTATTTTATAGGGATGTGAAACACTGAGTAAAATAAATTTCAAACTAAGTAAGTATCGAATACAGATAATGCATAAAATTATAGTCGATTACACATTATGATTGAATAGAAATAATCACCTGGAAACTCAAAACGCCTCGGAAACAAGTCAGAAGTAAACAATAAAATTATTTTCTTTTGATTTGCTACATACATAATAATGGGAAGTGTAGGTATGCCCGTTATGTTTTCCGTAGGGTGTATTTCCAATCTCTATATTTATATCAAAGATGAGAGAACATTGTCTATGGTTATTCATGACCCATCTTATTTTTATGTTATGTCACTGTCATTAATTACGCAGATACCTATCTAAAAAATATTCAATGTGAGAAAAATGGTGTTATCGAAATGATTTCTGTATCGTTTGGCAACGTGAGAAAGGCAAATGAAAGCTTATTGCGACTAACATCTTTAAAAGTTGATAAAATGACTTGAAAATGAAGGAGGAATCTAGTGAAATATTGGAGGCTAAAGTTGCCGAGCGCAATGAACGTGCCAAAAAACTTTATCGGTGAGTTATTAACTTAACCCATTTGAGATATCAAATATGAAGAAATCTTTTTGTAATCACAAAGTTTTTTATGAATCATAATAAGTGTTTTAGTAATCAGAAAGCGTGTCAAAGTTGACGTTCAAAATTTAGATATAATAAACCAGTTTTCCAAGTTGCATGTCCATAGCACAATTTACATAGCTGTATTAAAATCCCACAAATTGAAAATTCGCTATCGTTATTTCGATATGTATACCAGTTATCGTTAAACTAACTTCAAATCTAAGTAAAAGGTGTACCCTTTGATTCATGCTTAAAAACTTTCTAATTACAATAATTGTATTTAGTTCTATTAACTTGATATTTTGTATATAACTTTATTTTATATGTAGTAATGCACACTTAACCCTACTTTATACTGTTATAATTATATTGTTTGATTTGCAGGTATGTCAGTGACGTAGCCAGACGTGTTGGTGAAATGACAACTGCCAGTCGCTCCATGACTGACCTCTTCTCCACCAATCTTGAAGTCCAGCGCCAAAAACTAAGAGATAATTGTGAAAAACTTTTATTTCTTGATCCCATCAATTATGGCAAGAAATCACTTGAATTGCTCTGGCGAAAAGTCTACTATGAAACTGTATCAACAGCAAAAAAACTTAGGGAAACTGACAATGATAATGATAGCTATCTATTTACCCATATAGTTTGTGGGATTGGCCACTTTCACCATTTTATTTCAAGGATAGAAGTAGAAATGAAGATCCATGTTAAAGAAATAGATTATACATCTTTCCACCATGATGAAGAATCTATTGAAAACAATCAAATACCAACTGATGATGAAATTCAATTGAGTCGTTCAGTTTTACACTCATGTCTCATATATCTTGGAGATTTGAGTCGCTATCAAGTAGAAATATTTCATGCTTTTGAACCATCCATAGCAGCTCGTTATTACCTTCAAGCTGCACATGTTGATATGTCTTCAGGAATGCCATATAATCAGTTAGGCAACTTGTACAATGACAAAAATTACAACTTAGATTCAGTTTGCTACTACATCCACTGTTTGAGTTGTACATCTCCATTTGAAGGAGCAGTGGGCAATCTAACAAAAATATTTGAAAAGAATGCTCAATATTATGACTCTCCTAATAATCCTGAATCACTAACACAAGCAGAGCATATACAAAATATTATAACTAATTTCCTTTCCTTAATAGAAATTTGGTACATGAATAAGAATGATACCAATATTCCACAGAGATGCAGCACTATTGCTCATGAATTAAAAGTAGCCATGGACTTTATAAAACCTCCACTTCCTGATGTAGATAAAAATTACACCGAATACATTCAGGCAGTTGAAGAAGAAGGAACAAATCCATCTTATCTAAATGCAAATTTGGTGCATAAAATTGTACTCATTTGTTTGTTTACAATAACAAAAGTATCAGAGACTGATGAAGTGAAAGCATTTGCATGTAAGGCTTTTACTTTAGCTCTTCTGTCACAGCTACTGCAAAAGTTATTACAACAATTAGAATCCCTGGGTCTTAAAAATCCTGCATACAAATACAAGTCAAAAAGTACACTACATGTCCCAAGTGTCAATAACATTGCAGATCCAATCGCACACAGTGATTCTGTTGCAGAAGACCTTCCAGACAACACAAATCTTGAAATACATGATAATGTTGATTGTTCACCAAAAGATGATAATGTAGCAGAGAATAAAGAGTTAAATACTAATGGAGATTCTAAAAGTAATGTTAAAAAGTCATTAACGAAACGTCGACGACGAAGGCGCCTAGCTTCATCTGATAGTTCTGATATGAGTGATGTTGATACAGAAAGCAGTGACGTAGAAGTGTATGAGTCATGCTCTGATGAAGAAGAAGATTTATCAGATTCTACTGGACACTCTGATGAATCTGCGAGTGAGGATTCCATCTTCGATGTTTCTGATACTGAAGAAACAATTACTAAAAATAATGGAGACATTGAAATAGAAAATAACAAAGAAGTCACTAAAGATGCTACTTTGAATGGTGACTTCGAAACTAAACAAAATAACATTGACAATGAATTTCAACACAACAGTTACAACAACAATATTTTGGATATTCAGGGCCTACAAAACTTTTTGCTTGGTGACAACTTTCTCTCTAGTATAAAGTTGCTTCAAGACTGGGCATTAAATGAAAAAGATTTGATTTTATCTTGTGGGGACAGTGGAGAGTCTCTGTTTCAATGTGTTGTAGATTTGCTCAATATATTGACATTTTATTTTAAACCAAAATCAAATGAAAACAAAGAGTGTCATATTTTGGTATATGCACGTAGTGTGGCAAAAAAGTTAAAATTGGAATACAAAACCATTCCTTTACCAGAAGACATCAATTTACGTGGAACTAACATCTGCAAATATGACAAAGATGCTGCAGAGTGGCAAATGTTAGAGAGATACAAACTATCATTTTATGAAGAAAATATTGTAAGAATACTGAATTTTATAGATTTTGGAAGCCACGTCGCAAAAATAATACCTCGAATTCGATTTAACAGGACATTAAAAATATTTTACTTCAAAAAGGTAACTCCACCTAAAGTTACCACCAAAATAAATCACAAGCGAAGCAAAGAGTGGCACAACTCTAAAAAATCCCATGTAAGTTTAATAAATATGCTAATAATTAGATCAATGTTTGTAATCATGTAACTTGTTTTAATACCGTTTTAGTGGGGACACGTTAGCCCATTGTGTTTTTCATAACAAGTTAACCAATACACATAATAAATTGAAACTAAAAGACAACCTTCTGTAGGTTTACAGAGAAATAATATAAAAAAACAATGCGTGAAATTACCCCTACCACGACAACATCTTGGCATCGTTATGCATGCATGTATTTTTTCTTTGTGCAGGTCGAATCTAATGAAGGTGGAGGATTATTGCGGCGCCTTGGACATCTTTGGCTGGCGTCACAGGTGCGAGAACTAGAACGTAGTGGCCAATCGCCTATACCTGCTTTGCTTGCGCTGGACACTAACGCCCTACACAAACATTTGCGTCGTGTCAAGCAACTGCTGCGTACTCGTAATTTTGTTCTTCTGATACCCACAGTTGGTAAGAATCTCTATCTACTTGAAGTTCTACTTATCTTATTCGTGTCGTGACATACTGAATTTACTGAACGTACTTGTCCGATTCGAGAATCTAATCAGCGACCCTGTTTTTCCATGCCTCCATCACTTAATAAGAAACTTTTTAAATGATCTTTACTCTTTACCTATTAACTTTTGATTATTTCTTTTACTTCTAGTGTTACAAGAATTGGATAACCTGAAGCGTGAACAAAGCACTGCTCGTGATGCTATACGTTGGCTCGAAGTTCAGTTGCGCAGTGGATCTCGTTTCTTGAGAGCTCAACGTCCAGGGCAGTCGAAACCTTTGCCACTTTTGAAATACCCACGTAAAGCTCCACCACATGTTCATAATTTTATACAAATAATGGAATTTTGTAATCACTTTATAGCTGATGACAAACAAATTCAAGGAGGAAATGGTGATCCTGACAGTTCATTACAAGGGAAATCTACACCTTTACTGATTTTACTAGTGGGTAATGAACCTGGCAGTGAAGAAGAACAATATAAAGAATTCAGTGTAACAGGAGCTGCACAAGCTGCAGGGATTTCTATTGAATACATTGGAGACTTTTACACCAAGTGGCGGCAAACTGTTCATAAAAATGGCAAGAAGAGATGAACATGTCGATGTTGACCTCAGGATTCGACTACAGCGAAAGGATGGACATAGATGTTCTTCGGTTTCGGTAAAAGTATTGAAACATCTCTTTGGGAAAGATACGATTGATGTGTTAGCATTTCATATGCTAAAGTCAATGCTATGTCTTAAGGAAATTATCCATGGCAAATTGTCCAAGGGGTATATACTCCACAGGTGGACTAGTATTTCTCTTTTGTTACTATCTTTACTACAGAGTTAAGATAATGTTTTTCACATATTCATTAAACATTGTCCCATTGTCATCTTCATCATCATCAGTTTAATTATAAACATTTGGGAATTCATCTTCATAACATATCTATGTACCATGCATATTCATTATTATTTTTTTAATTACTTTGCGTGTGACTGGTGTTACATCTTATTTTATCGATAGATACTGTTCACTTTAAATTCTTTTTAATGTATGTTCAGATATTTTTGTTCTTATGATTTTGATGTTCATTGGAATAAAAGTGTTATCATCATTGCAAAAACTTGTATTTCTTTTTAATCCCATCCATCCGCATAACAGTATAATACAAAAGTAAATAACATATTTGATTTTGAGGTACATACCATAATTTTTATACAGTGGGAGACCAATATAATGCATAAATAAATTTTCACAAGCACATTTAGTATATTGATTATTTGAAGAAATGCTTTGCTAGTGATCTTAGATATTAAATGCTGGCCCAGTTATTGAGTTATCTATTTTTTATTAAGCACATTCTACATTAAACATAGAATTTCGTTATGTATTTTACTTAAGTTTATTATACATACTACAACTTTCTGATGAGGAACAAAACAATTTATATTAGTATACACTCTATTTATTTTCTTTATAATTATTATTCCTAAAGTACGATAAATAAAAAAATAAGTTATGTAACAAATAAAATGTACAAGATCAATCCAAGCCAAAATGAGCACAAAAATGTTTTTGCAGAATTTTTAAGAAACCCTCAAATTCTAAAATGATAATTCATGTTATGCTCTAAAACAGTGATGTTTTATGTTACTGGACATACTATCTTCTTAGAATTAAAAATTATGCATCATTGCAATGCCAATTTTTACCAAAATGGTAAAAAAATAATGTTATAACTTAAATAATAAAGTGCACAAATAATATTCTTATAAATAAAATTTAAAACATTAGACATTATAGCTATTATACAATATTATTAACATAGCCTCTCTGATCCCTTATTGGGAAATTGGAGGATAATTAAAAACTTTTAGTTTAATTACTTGCTTAATTAATAATGAATCAATACAATAATGTACAAAATATACAATATTTTTAACAATCTTTCAACAGTCTTATAACTTTATATATCTATACAGTATTGCACTTAAAACTCAAGTGTCGAGTAATGTGAAGATATCAATAGATAAAACTTTCGAAATTATTTCTAACTTAATTTATGACAAGTCGTAATTAAAAAGCAGTTATGTCTGCCCTGCCGCCATGCTGCCATCAATTCACGACATACATAAAAAGTCCTAGAACAAATGCCGTAGTATATATCCATTGAGGTGTTATATACAGTAAATGATTCTGAAACATAATACGCTACCTAACCCACTATTTGAATAAGCTGTTGTACTGTAGAGCGGTCTAATAAACAAAGATCAAAATCAAATGTCTGTGTGGTTACTTCATATCGTCCAGTCTCTGCAATTAAATTAACCACTCGTTCTAAATCATCGTTATTTTTTATTTTCATGATGCGCTGTTGTAAATCTCTCAATTGCACCATGTAATCTGGCGACAGCTCTCCAGGCTCAGCATCTTCGCCTAGACTACTAGATACTCCATTATCTTGGACTTTTGTCTCTGCAGATGTTGATCCACTGCTCTCGCCACGCTCTGTGTCATTGAATGGTGGTGCTGTTTCTGTTTTAACAAGTTTCCTGTGTTCTATACTTTCCAAGCTTTCCCTTTCTTCTTCAGCTGCTTTTCGTTTACGTCGTTTTTCCTCTCTTTTAGCAGATTTATCTTTATGTTTCTGTTTTTTCTCCTTATGTGGTGGTGGAGGTTCTACCAGTGGTTCTGGTTCTGGTTCTAGTTCAGGTTCCGGATCCAGTTCTGGTTCTGGTTCAGGGGATGGTTCATGTTTGATAGGTTCTGGTGACATAATTTCAAGTTTCACTTTAGAGTCTTCTTCATCCGCTATAACAGAGCTTTCAGAATCTGAATGGCTACTGTTAACATCTTCATTACCAATATGAGATGATTTGGCCAAACCACTTTTGGAACTACATTGAGATGCCGTGTCTATAGATATAGGAGATGCTGGTTCAGGAAGAGGTCGCTCTTTAGGTATGGGTGTTTCTCTACGCTCAATTACTTCAATTTTTTCTGGAGGTATTTCTCTATTTTTGTCATGCTTATGTTTCTTTTCTTTATTTGATTCTTTATGTTTTTCTCTAGACTCATCACGCCTTTTGTCTTTCTTCTTATGTTTGTGTTTCCTTTCTGGGTCTGACTTATCTTTTGATTTATGATTTTCTGGACGATCACCATCAGGTGTTTTTATGAGATTTTCCAAAGAAAACTTATTTAATGGTTTATCAGGTTTCATAGGTTTCTCTTTAATTGTTGGAGAATCTTTTATTATTTCCTTTTCCTTAGGAACTTCTCTTAACTTGGGCACCTCTTTAGGAATTTCTTTAGGAGGCTCTTTTGGCGACTCTTTCAGTTTATGGCTTTCTTTTTTATGTTCCTTTTTTTCCTTTCTTTCTTTGTCCCGATCATGACTTTTCTTTTCTTTTTTCTTCTTTTCTTTTGATTCTTTTTCTACTTTAACATCAAGACTTTTGTCTTCTAATTTAGGTTTCTTTTGGTCCAACATTTCTGTGTTATGTTTTGCAGGTTTGTAGTCATCTTTAATACTAGAAGCACTATTGGACCTAGGAGGGCTAGGCACTCTTCTTATGGGACTTAAACACCGTTTTTTAGCTACATCTGGGGATGCAGTTCTTTCTAGAGGCCTCTTGTTAGCTTTATCTTTTAACTTGTCCCCTTCTTTATTATGATTCTTGACTTTTTCTGGCCTCCCTTTATCTTTTTCTTCTTTAAGCTTGACTTTATCTGACTTCAGTTCTTTGTGTTCATGTTTTTGCTTTTTATCAGAACTTGATCTTTCTTTTTCTTTTTTATCAGATTTCATTGGTGGTGCATTCTTTTCTATCTTTTTGGGATCTGGTGATACTTTAGGTGGTTTTTGAATAGGAGGCCCAAATAAGTTTTCAAAGCTGTTATTACTAGTTTTATGGGGCATTTCTTCTTTGTGTTCCTTAGACTTGTGTTTTTTGTTACTATCAGATGTTAATTTTGGCTTACTAACAAGTTGCTGCTTCTCTTCTGTAAAGGAATCTCTACTTCTACTTTCTTGGTCAGGATTGGTGTAAAATGCATTGTTACTTATGGGTATGCCACCACCTTTTAAAAGCTTTTTTCTAAATTCTTCATTGGGGTTTTGGAAAATGTAGCGATCTTTGAGAGATCCACTTTGTTGTAGAGTAAAATCATAAGAAAACTTTATTTTCTTGGGTTCATCTTTGTTTTTTAGGTAAATTTCTATGGGAAATACAAATCCTGCATAGCCAGATTCTTTGACTGAGAAAGGTGGTTCTTTCACAACTGCAAACAAAAAAAGTATATAAAGACTGTGCAAAAACACAAAACCAATATAGTATTCAGCAACAGATAATTTCACGGAAACTAGTTTTTCTTTAGATGTTATATTTGTTTACTTGTTTATTAAATGAAATAAACAACTGAACTCAATAGAAACTCATCACATAAACAGAATATGTTCCTTGCTAAAATTTAAATATATTAAATAAAAATTACCTCTTCGAGGCTTTTTGAAAGTTTCATGCAATTGAAAAACCACTTTATCTACAAAGTGACTTATATCTGCTCCTTCCAGGCCGCGCACAAACACTTCCCAATCATGAGTAAAGCCTTCTGGAGTTTTCTTCGATCGTAAAGATGCTTCATGTCCGATTTCGAAATTTACTTTGATTGCAGACATTCTGAATCTGAAATAAACAATGAATATTAATTTGTAATGGATTTCTAAATGCAGGGTACTACGCTAGAAAAATAACATAAGCTTAAAATTACAGTTCTCATCTAATGTACTTACTTTCATAAGATATTTTAAACACAATATATATTTTAAACATAACAAGTGCAATACAATGTCTTAACGAGTGACTGATTTAACAGAAATCACAAATATCCACAATAATCTTTTAGCGCCCTTGTTATTTTGGTCCGCCATATTATTCTCTTCAAAACATAGACTAGACGAGCGAGTGATAATTGAGTACTATAAGTACCGTAGTGTACTTTTTTAACGTTAGAATATCTGTTAATTAAAACTCGACTAAAATCATAAGCCATTTGGTTGAACTTTATGAATGTTGTAGTAATTTGCTGTGATGATAATTGTAATGTTCAGAAGTCGGTTAATATATAAATATTTTTGTGATAAATAAGCAGAAAACCGTTTTTGTACGTCTTTGAGCAGAGAGCGCATCAAAACGCCCAATGACAGTCAAAGAGATTTGTAAGTTTATGTGACAGACGTGACAGTTGACATGATTTCTCGAAAGTCGAAACACCAAGTGAAGTGACCAAGATTCTAATTCCTAACCTGCATCTTCTATTTTATTTCTGAATTTGGAATAATACCAATAGTAACATAAATAACGTTTGTACTATCATGTCAGGAATAATGTCTGCGATTTTTCAACCATTGAAGTAAGTGTTTATGCAGTATATTATTAGGCTGCCGTTTGTTGGTTATTGGAATTAGTTGATTATTATGATGATTTACAATTATTACATTATTGAATTTTCAGGATTATTAGGCAAACTTTGCAAGTCGCTTCAACAGTTGCTCCCAGTACAAGTCTAGTAAAGCCAGATTGTTTCTCGCTGTCCTCTATTAGAACTAAAGTGCGATGCTATTTTCCTCGACCAAACGAAGTCCGTAGAGTGAATAGACATGGCTGGAAAACGAGAATATCAACACCTAATGGTCGCAGGGTCATCATGCGGAGATTACTCAAAGGAAGATTTGTATTAACCCATTAGTTACTGGATAAAATATAAATATAAGTAAATTACTAAGTTAATGGATTAGATGGAAATAATTGATATGCAGTGTAGTGTAAATAATAAATAAATAAATATGTTTTGAATCATTCTTTATTTAAAACAGCCTGATTTTTGTTAACAGAGCTCTCATACTAACAAGCTATACATTTCACTTATTTACTACTTTACAAAAAGTAACAAAAACAGAATATAGGTACTGTTGTGCAGACTTATTTTCTTCAGATAATTGATGCAAACCAAATTATATTATTCATCTACAATTCTAGCAATGCCCTTTAGACCCTTAGTTTTGACAATGGATAGAAATGGATAAATCACTACTACTATTATGGGGACATTACATACTAGAGATTATCAAAATTAATATACTATGTATAATGAAACCAATATATTGCTTTTATTTTAATAATATTTCAAAAATCCTCACAGGAAACAATGCTTGATAAATTACACTTACAATATAATTTAATAAATAGTTACCATGGACTAGTTGAACAAATATTTTTGAGAGGGAATGGAGTCATCAGAGGTAGGAGATTTTGCTGGTTTTAATAAGTTGGATACTTCTGACACAACCAAGGTTGTCAGCTTTATGATAGCCAAATGTGCTGCTAACTGTAATACTAGTGCACCAAAGCCTTTGTACAGGCCTGACACTCCTTCCTTGGCTATGGTGGAGTTGTAGCAATCCATAAAGCCTTCATAACCAGTCAGTATTGGTATAACTGATGTGCCAGTGTCCAAGTTATCTACTATTGTCCTGGTGCCCTGCAAGGAAATTACGTTATTTGAATGAATGTTTAAAGTACTTTTAATACATAAATTTCATTGTTACAGTTTGATGGTTATTGTTTGAATATTTTTAAAAGATCAAAGTACCTGTATGTGAAGCCTATGGATAATGGTTTCGACTGGGTAGAATATAATTTCCATTGCAATGAAAGATATGATGTTGGCTTTCAAACTGATATCCTCAATCAGAGGGTTTGAGGTTTTGCTGTAGTTCACATTATATGAGTCACTAAGCTCATGTCTGTGTCTTTGTTGGAAACGGAGAACTTTCTCAGTTATCTTTTTAAATGTTATGCTGAAATAGAAGTAATATTTATAAACTTATTATGAAATTAATATATTGATTTACGAGAAAGAGTTAAATGAGAAGATTGCCAAACCCCCAAATCATTATTAAAGGTTAAACTATGGTCCTGTTAATTATATTTTGAAAGGAAGAAAAAAAATTATTGAACAGGCTAAAAAACAAGTGATGTGTACAGATTATACAAGATCATAAAAATTGGAACAAGTTCATGTACCAAGTCGGTGGCAAAATGAGAACAGTTATCATATCATAATTATATTGATATCATATATGAGTATATAATATTACTTACTGAGCAATGTACTTGGTAATACCAAGAGAAACCGTTGGGAACACAATAGCCCATATAGGCAGCATTCTACCTCTGCTGGGAGTTCCCCATTCTAAAATGCGCATGAAACCTTCCCTGAACACATCTAGTATTGCTGGTTTGTCACTTGCAATGTCGCTCTGTACTGTTTCAACCAAGCTCGCTGAGTAGAAAGGTGTAATGATTGCTAAACTTACACTGAAAATAAATTATAAAATGGTAAGTAATAGACTACATCTCATTGAAAAAATAATACATATATTTTAATATAGTTGATTCATAAACAATTTCTGTCAAAGTAAATGTTATACGCACCATTTTAAAGTTATATGCTGTAGGAACTGTAAGACGGAATCACATTTTCCAATGTCCCTAAAAGAGGATACAACTATTAATATCATGACTATCACTAAAAGCAGTAATATTATTGAAAAAAGAAAACTAAAATGAAGGTGCTTACTTAGGCCATCCAGTGCCTTTAGAGACCACATCCTCCACAGCTAAGTTTAATCCTTTCACTATACAAGTGGAGCCAATGCCTTTCCAGAGTGTGGTCACATCTTGTCTCCGATGCAACCGAGCTACTACAGGTAGAAGAGTGTAAGGTACTATGTGATAATTCTTCAGACCATTGTGAACCTGTAATTATAATAACATCAACTTTTTAGTTAGTCTCACCATAACTCAATAACCGCACAACCGATTTAGCTAATTTTTTTTTATGACTTGGTCTTGAATTAAATTCCAGGGAAGATTTAAAAGGTAAGAAAAAAAAATTTATGAGGCGGTTTGAAGTTTGCCTGGTCAGCTTCAATTATTAATAATTATTCTAGAAAAGAATTAAATGATGATAGTGGTGCAATAATAAGATAAGATTTAATGATTTGTTGCTGTGCAATATTTTTGACTGATTATTAAACTTGTAATTATTAAGCATTTTATGTTATACATAAAACAAAATTACACCTTACAACAATAATAGGGAAAGGCAGAGATGAAAATTATATCAGTTGTACAAACAAATGTGGTGAGATTTTTTTTTAAAGTTGTATACTGCTGGTGCTTCGGCTTTAAACACTAACATGAAATTAAACAATAAAAACTAACACATAGCACAGGATAACATTATAAACAAACCTGGCACTGCCTTCTCAACACAATAAATGGATGACTTAATAAATTTTCTGTGATAAGACTAGCAACACTTATAGCTGTTGTAATATATGCATTGTTATCTGAAACAAATTATTACATTACATACATTACGTTGAAAAATCAATATTACATTGCTTATATCATTTCTGTATGATTTGAATTTTTTTTTATAGGTAGATATGGTCTAGTGTTTATATTATTGCTATTGTGTAATTTTATTATTTGATAGTTCACACATTGGCAAGATTTTTCTGGCTGAGTTCCCATTTCTTTGTATAATTGTAAACACTCAGGAATGTCTAGAATGATTCGAGCATGTAAAATGTTCAATTATAAGTGGGAACAATTTGTTTATGAAGTTACTTTCAATATACTTATATTTGTGCTGTATGAACCACATACCTTCTTCAGAAACATCATCCATTACCAACGGCGGGCCCTGAAACTCTTCGGTAACAGGGGTATGGTACCCATATATCTGCTGATAGCGAGTATCGTACAAATCATTGGTTTCCCTATTAGGATCCAACCCATAAGGCCTGTTGTAGCCTGAAAAATCACCAAATCCAGCCATTCTTCTCTTCCTAAATCATTATTTTCAGTGGAAATATTTTATTGTCCCTGTAAAATAAAATATAAAAAATCAAGAGAAACTGTGCTGATTCCACTGATTTCAGTTACATGTTCATATAAATACTAGCCTGATAAATTTATATTTTCAACCAATCACACCATTGGAGATGATAGTAGAGATATTATAATGAAGTTTAATCCAATCAGATTCTAATAAGGACTTGATATAGAAATTGTTCTACATCGTAGAACATACTTATAGTTAAGTGTCAAAAGTTGCCACTGACCATAGACTAATGAAAAATAGCCATAGACTACCAATAACATCCTTACGTTACGTAAGGCGATTTTTGAATTAGTATGCGAAGTGAAATTATCCGATATCCGACGCGGTCACCAAGTTGTCTGTAATGCAGTCTCTGTCTTTGTTAATCTTTGACAAGTTAATCTGTCAGTTGGTGACATGAATGATCTGACAGATGTACGCAAACGCAAAGCAGACCAAAACAGCCAAGACGCATGATCAAAAAGATTTTGTACGGCTAACCCGACGAGTGAATATCGATTATAAAATAAGACAAAAGTTCTCTAACAAAAATGAGTCGTACGGTTTTAAACGGGATTTGATTGAATTAAAAATACATGATGCTTGTCAAGGCTGTGCTGTGTTTATCGAGTTTACACTTCTTCAGTAATTATTTTATTTAAAAATTGGTGATGAACTATGGCATTTATGAAAGTGGTGCTGGTGGCCTGGATGTATTGTGTGATGTTAATTGCAGGTGTTGCGGCTCAGGAGCAATGTACAGATTTGCGCGGTCGGTTGATTTCCCACGGACTTCATTATGTGCCTGGCCCAGATACTTGTACTCTGTGCGTTTGTGACAATGGATTACCAAAAGTGTGTAAGGCGGTCCTATGTTCACCTCCTCAGGTGAGCCATAGTTTTCCTTTCTTTTATTTGGGTATCAAATCAATATTAATCATACAATAAAGTTATACTACTTGTTGTTTCATACAAAAATGTGCAGTTTTATAACTTAGAGCATCTATAAAATTATAAAAAAAAATTATTTTTTCCTATTTTATTATCCATTTTTATCTCTACTTCTTTATGTATAGGTATTATTCATGTATCTAATATAAATAAAGGAATAGATAAATTTCTCCTTTACCCTACCTACTGTAATACTAGTTTACAGATATCAAGTGTTTACTCATGAAAGTTCTGCATGAAAATAAAATAAAACTTATTAATAAATAATACATTACTTATTTATTAAATTGTTGAGGATTCAAAATATTTTTTTAATTGAAGAAATCTTGTCATGATATCAGAATTACAGGTTAAAGCAATAAACTATGCATTAAAAAAAATCTTCTTCAGTAACTCATGAATTAATTTTCAATTGTAATAAATTACCTAATTATTGTAATTTATCCTTATATGCATAAAGGATATTTGTACACTTTTCCTTATTTACCTATTGTGATCTAGCACTTACTGAAGTTCATAGCCTATATTCTTAAAATATTTTGCAATATCTTTTTAACAAACACAGGGTGACTGTAACTGACTGTACTTCCTGCCTTTTGTTTGGATAGTTGATTGCACTTTGATTACAAATACTTGCAAAATAACCCAGTTATGTCAACAGTCAACTACCTTTCATTTGTTACAGTAAACATAATAAAATGTGTTACAAAGTTTGAGATACACTGAGAATGAAGAACTTATCTGATTAATGCAAAAAAAAAATTAGAAAACAATGTGATTCTTTGTTTATTTTGTCCTATTAGATTATTAACTCGTCGAGTACCGGTTTTATAGACACAATTAAAGAACAATAGGTCGCGGTCACTGGTGACCGCTTGGTGTTTGACAGTTTAAATTTGAAAATTCAACAGACAGACTCGCGTCGTAACATGAAACTCCTTTTCGTCAGTAGAGTACATGAGTTTTATTATTATTTAATTCGAAGTAAAGTAGCCATTTATAACGAAATTATTTAAATTTCGCACAGGATTGCCGATCTTTCCGCGTGGGTAACACATGTTGCGAGTTCATTTGTTTGGACGACGTCGTGAAGCCCGCGGAAGGGGCGGAGGCCAATGTACGCATGGCGGCCGGAGGCGCTGCCGCCGTGGTCCTCCTAACGGTCGCGCTGGTCGTGTACCGGGTTAGGAAGCAGAAGCGACGCCGCCCTCCACATGCTGATGACCAGAGGAGCTTAACTAGCATTGGGTATGGATCTTGAGCAGTTAGGTTTTTAATCATGACTTTCTACCTACCTTATCTTACGTAGTCATCATTGGACGTCAGACCCAGCAGATTTTACTCAAAATGTAATTAAGTCTTTCAGATTTCTCAGCAATGGTCTCGAAATTCACATATAGACTAATGGAATGGAAAATAGGACGTCCTATTACACAACCGCAATAGATAGTTGTTAGTTACCGCAAAAACTGTCGTTATACATACCACATGTTATTATTTTATTGTGAAATTACGCAGTATTTGTAGGTAGGTACTTACATTACATGTTTACGTTCTCATTCAGTTGCACAAACCTTCAAAAAAAGAGCGTGTTCCTTTTTAAAAAGCCGGTAACGCACCTGTGACCTAGTGTTGCCGGTATCCATGGGCGGCGCTGTTCGCTTACCATCAGGTGATCCGTCTGCTCGTTTGCCTTCTATTCCATAAAAAAAACTGCATGTCTGGTAGTCTGTTGTCTCACGCCAACAAACTCCAATTCAGTTTTCATCAGTGGGTGATCCAATGTTTATATCGAAAGGTTTAGCTGTAAGCGTGTAAGATTAATGAAAGTTTAACTACTGTGGGTGTAAACGTAACATAACATCAAGCCTTTTTATCCCCGAAGGGGTAGGCAGAGGTGCACATTTCGGCAGTTTATACCACTGTACAATGTAATAGGGGGTGCCATTGCCATATACCGGGCATATTTCCAGACTCCGTGCTACTACTGAGATTTTTAAAAACCCAATATTAGTTTACCCGACCCGGAAATCGAACCCGAGACCCCTTGCCCGGCAGTCGCACTTGCGACCACTCGGCCAACGAAGCAGTCAGAGGGTGTAAACAATATACCTAATATTAAATAAACAAATTAGCCCATTGCATTGCTCTAATCATACTTATTTGTTCATTTCTTAAACCACATCACAATATGAAATGAACTGCCTATGTTTTATTGCGTCTTGCAGCGGATATCGCAGATTAGGTAGTTATGTAACACATCACTTGACGTCCTTGTAGGTAATTAATATGTACTGCAAGTTACCGGGTACCGTTGCCATACAACTTCATTGTCGCAATTACATCTAACTGACGAACTGTCATGAGTCATGAGTACGTAGTCGTAGTATATGTTGTCCGTACGAGCGTCGCGTGAAAACATTTATGATTATTTTTTTAATGTTTGTTTTAATGGCTGTGTTATTGAGTTCACAGATTGCTTTTTTTTATAAAGAAAATAATTAATAAAAAAGTATAATTCTTCTGTGACTGTGTATGTCATTGAACTTCTCTCAAACGACTGGACCGATTTTGATGAATTTTTTTGTGTGTGTTCAAGGGGATCTGGGAATGGTTTAGATTCACAAATCAGCCCGGCAGATGGCGCTGCAGTCGATGTCTAGGTTATTTATCTTAACGGCCGAACTGATTTGAATGAATTTTTGTTTATACATTCAAGTGGATATGCAGGACAACGTCTGTCGGGTCCGCTAGTAAATTATAATAAAATAACTAAGCGCTCTCTGTACACATTATGGTGTCCCGTCTTTCTCGCAAGTAGTTCTTAAGTAAACTTTTTAATTTGTGAAATATAATAACTCTTTTGTCTCATAAGTTTCATTGTTGTGATGTTTAAATAACTTTAAAAGGTGCGTTAACATCTGACGAATGAGAACCATAGCCTTGGACTACCATTTCAGTATGGCCCTCGAATATTATGTATACGTATTGACTTCACCAGTTATCAGGCGAATTTACACAAACATGTGTATGACGAGCTTGTTTGTTGTTTCGTTAGACAACAGTTATTGTATCACGCCAGGCCCATTTATAGTACGTAGACACAGACAATACAGCATAGCTACCTAGTACCTACCTATTATTATAACTTGAATACACCTACATATGTTTGATATATTTAGTAGAAGGATTTTAGATTCAGTCTATGTATTGCTAAGTCTTTTTTTCCATTCTGGCTTATACCAAATTCAAATTTTCCTTTTACCCTGTTAGATTTCATCTTAACAATAACATAAAATCACGCCTTTTATGCCCGAAGGGGTAGGAAGAGGTGTATATTACGGCATTTAATGCTACTGTGCAATGTAACACCAAGATCTCACCTTAATACTTTGGGATAATACAGCCTTATATTAATAAATAATCTTTTTACTCATGCCCTTATCGTAAGTTATTTGTTAGCAATTTATTAGACGTCATCTTATTACAAACCTTTTTTTCATATCCTTCCTGAATTCCGGACAAAGTCTATCTTTGTTTTTCGCCGTCCTCTTCCATCCTGAGCGGATTCCATTCAAATGCTTACGGCCATATTTGTATTGTTTTACCAAATAGCTTCACTAGTGAACTGTCCGGCACACTGTCATTTTTTTTAAATAGTTTAAAAGTGCCTTCCTGGTCTAATTGAAATTAATGATTTTGACTTTTTGGTTTTTATAACTAATTTTATAACTAGGTACATCAGTGGCAGTATGGGCTACATGGGCGGTACGTGTGAGACAGCGCTGGCCGCGTGGAAGCCGCCCAGTAACTACCTGCCTAGAGGAGAAGCGCCGCCGCCCTACGACGAAGCCATCGCCCAATGTCGACCTGATAACATGAGGTACCTCTACTTATAGAAACAATTTATTGTATCTATGATCTGTACTTATGATGAAATCTTGACTTTTATACAGACACATAACTTACTACAGAATTTTTATAGCACAGGAGAAAATTTTGTTTTACCAAAATTACCAAGTGAGTATCAATTCTATTGTGAAACATCTGACAAAGGCAGCCCTGATAAGTATCAGACATAATTTACGTGTTTGTACTACTATACCATTATATATATCTATCTATTAGATACAAAACTGAAAAGCACAAACAAGTCACTACTCGTAGCGTTTGCAGGGACATTTCACTGTTGCATACTTAAACTTATTTGAACGTAAAAGATGACTTTACTTGTTTACAGAGTGTCAAACGAGCCTTCATACCACCGCACGTACCCGGCGACAGTAGAGACGATGTCTCGGCCGGACGACGTGCCGTGCGCCGGACACGGATACGTCAACGTACCGCGGCCCGTCACACAGGTCACATATTATGTATGACTTTATTTAACCTACACCTAGAACAAGTAGACACTGCCCTACCCCTAGTGGATGAAGGCGTGAGTTTATGCATGTATGTATTGTACTTAGATAACATTTTCTATTATTATCATGGTTTTTAATGAGTTAAATGAACTCTTCTTGCATGTTTGTCCTTATGAGGCCATAAAAGTCCGGTGGTTCTTGATAAGTTACTTTAGAACTCAAAAGGCACTTCTATAAAATATTTCCACTTCTTATGCCCTTAGTAATGCACTGACAAATGAACAATAAAGTCTCCGTGTTTTTACTAACATAGAATATCTCATGAACATTTTTATCTTCCATGATGCCGTGATGCCATATATGCAGGGTGACTTGTAACTCGACGTATTCCTCTCTAGAGGTGATAAAACAACCAATTTCCTACAAAAATAGCCAAATTAGTGACTTAAAACAAAATTTGATGCTAATTTAATGCTATTTTAAAACGAATGATATTTCTGAAAGTATTAGTATCAATAAATGTTTATTGATGTATTGACAATAAAATAATATTAACATCACTTAAATCAAACCAGTAGTTTTTGATTTCTTCTGATGTTTTTGTAGTTAGATCGGCATTTTTTCACCAAAACCGAAAATTTTGAATATTTCATAAACTAGCCACTTTTGGACTAGGGACTATTATTGTTGGAAATTAGTTGTATTATCACCTCCCAAGAGGAATACGTCGAGTTACAAGTCACCCTGTATACAAATCTAGTGTGTAAAGTGCATAAGAAGCTAAACTCAAAAGGTTTGATTTCATTAATAGGAAGTGTCTAAATATCTCATAGTATTGTTAAGGCTATGAGATATTTAAGTAAACACTTTGAACACATTGACTAATAGACTATAGAATGAGCTAAAAGCTACATTATATCCGTATAGTTATAGGTCGCGGTTCCCGCCCACGCGTGTCCGTTGATCTGTAATCAGCCTTATAAAGGCGTGGGTCGCTATTATCGTTCGCGACAGTAATGTAAATGTCAGTGCGCAAAGCACTCGATAATGAAGGGAAATGAAGGGGCTTGAAATATGACACAGGAATATAATTATAGCTTTTTAGTTATTACCCGTGACTTTGTTCGCATATTCACTTTGGGGAGAATTTTTACCGTTTTTTGTGACTGGAAGATCATATATATCTGACTACACCCGTCCTGGGTGAGGTGGGAGAGGGTTTTGAAACTCTTACTGACTAAAACCACCCCATTCCAACTGTTACTAGGAGCTGGCGCTGCGAAACCATGGCGACCTTAACCTGAGGCTTTATTCTAGGTTCTAAGTTTATTCTATTTCTTTAGACACTTTCATCAATACTGGTTCAGTAGGTTAAGCAAAAATTCTAACAGCTAACTTTCTTGTTTAGTTGGTATTTCTAGTTTATGGGATAAATTAAAATTTTCTTTTCATCCCATAGATCGCCAACACTCAGAACTGTTACAACGCGCCCCTGCTGCAGCCGGTGCACCAGCCGGACAGTCGCGAGCCCGCCCCCATGACACATCATCCTCTCGCGCCCAACAGTAAGTACCACACCATTACCTACTTTACTATCATGTAGTAAAGTTCATATTGTTTTGAAATCAAGAAATCAATTCGTAAATTGTCTGAATTTACGACCATTTCTAGTAACATATTTTAGTAAAATTATATTTTTGGAAGATAATGTCGATAGTCATTTTTTTAGTAATATTTGTAATAATAATTTAAAGAAATGGTTTATTTTTATTTATTTATTTAATCTTTAATGTACACAAATTTTAATATGGCACATAAGGCGGACTTAATGCCATATGGCATTCTCTACCAGTCAACCTTAGGGTTTAAATAGAAAATCTGCGAAAAATAAGGTACGGAGAATAAACTAACAGCAAAGAGAGAGAGAGGAAAAAATAAATAAAAAGGTAATTATTCAATAATATAGCTATATATATTACATAATAGTAAATAGTATATATAGTCATATGCATAAAATATATAGGTATAAATACATAAATAAATATATATCGACGAAGACCTAGACCTAGCGTTGCAGCGATTTTAAGTAAAATTCATGAACTTGGTGTTTAAAGGAGATTTTATTAGGAGCTTTTTTGATATTTATCGATTTTATATTAATAATTAACTAGTTTTCTTAGCTTTACAGTCGGAGATGAAAACTTATATCACTCTGCAACTCCAGACACATTTAATACCATACAATATTCAGTTGTAATATGACAGTAAAATAAAACACTTTCGCATTTACGATATTAGTAAGGACTTGCTGACAACAATTTCATTATGCTGTAAAAGTTATACAATTACAATAGAATTCGGAAACACAAAGCAGCATTGTTTGTCAAATTTCCGTAGACAAAGGGCGGTAATAGTTTCGAAATATTATCCAAGTGTCGTAATAAAGAAATAACATTATTCTAGTTACGCAAGTGTAATAATACTGCATTCAATTGTCTTTTGTTTATATTTTGAGTGAGAATGGATAATAATAACAAGTAGGAATAGATGTTAGGCCGACGTAATGAGATCATTCGTTTGCTAACCGAGTCGTAATGATAACATAATATACGAGTAGATGACATCACGTTGTATCTGCTATTCGGAATAGGTAAAGGTGTGAATGTTAAGTATACATATGTTTTACTACAGTTATGTTTGTCCTGTTTCTATAAGGATGTTGAGACAGCCTTTGTATTTTGATATGTTCTAGGTGAATTTTGATAACTTTGAACTGTGTGATATGAATTTGAGTTATATGTTGTATTTCCATGACTGTATGTTACCTGTTGCGTAAAGACAGGTCTGTTAAAACTTATGTGGTTCTCTTATTTTAATTGGTCTGGATTGTAAGGCACTGCTATCATCTGAGTTTCGTTATTGATTGCATGGTTAGCGCGGTAGATGGGCAACTGACTGCCGCGCAACGTGTCGCGGGTTCGAATCCCGCACGGAACAATTCTTTGTGTGATTCACAGATTCTTGTTTTGGGTCTGGGTGTCTTGTGTATGTAATTAAACTTGTATGTTTGTAAACGCACCCACGACATAGGAGAAAATCGTATTGCGGAGCAACGTTTAAAAAAAACTTCGAATTGAATAATTATTCCTAATCCAAAATCGTTGGTTCGATGTAAGTTTTTGATAAAAGTTCAGGTTTTGGATTAAGATCCTTTATTGATTTGACCATTAATATTATTATTAAATTTATAAGCTATTATTTGATTTAATGTTAAGCAAATGTAATTTATGAGCTAGTGACAGCCCTAAAATTGGCAACGCCTGAAAAAGGCCGTTAAGCTGTGCCTGTTTGTGCATAAAGACTTTGAGTTTGACCATTTGTTTCTTCGTCGTAGGGTAGTTGATTAGGAAACGCTTAGCTTATGTAGGTACATTTTTAGTAACTGATTTGATACCATAGATACCGTGTGTTGCCCAGTGGTGGGGTTCCCTAGCGCCATCCGCCTGACGGGGTCGCTGGGCGCCATCAGCAACCGCGGCCTGCTGTCGGTGCTGGCCCGCGACCCCGACCGCGGGCCTGACCGCGGGCCTGACCGCGCGCCCGACCGCGACCACGAGCGACCGCACAACGTGCCCGGCTTCTACACTAACGCGCCCAACGTACATACCTCACTGTCAGTACTCTTTATACTCATACTTATTTTGGAAACTTACAGTTCTTTTTCTGGTTCGAAACCTACCAACGGCAAGTACCAATGTGACTTTTTCCAAGTTATATGTACTTTCTAAGATTATTTAGACACCACTGACAAACGGTGAAGGAAAAACATCGTGAGGAAACCTGGACTTATAATTTCTAATTATAAGTTTGAAATCGCCAACCCGCATTGAGCAAGCGTGGTGATTAATGGTCTAACCTTCTCCGTGTGAGAAGAGGCTTTGCTCAGCAGTGGGCATTTATAGGCTGTTGATGATGATGATGATGATGACAATTCTTTTATAAAAATAAAGTACGAAGTGACTAAATTGTAAATTGGAATCTGTGCTTGAGAAAAATATACATATATTAAGGCCTTTATTAGAATGGTATTTATGAAGGTATTCTCATGTAAAAGGCGTGATAGGTAGAAACTACAGAACTCAAGCTATAACAATACATGCATTCTTTAGCTTCCATTAAAGTAAATTACAATGAAATTAATTAATTATAATAAGAAACACGTCTCATTGAGATTATCTATCTACAATAGGGTAGATGACTATTGATGTTCGTCGGGTTGATTATTTAAAAACAATGGACACGTATTTTTATTTTCTTACGGAAACAAATACTTTCGACGATATTAAACTGATTTGAAATATGGCGTGACGTCACTTTTGCGTACGTTTTATACTCAAAAATGACGTATCTCGCTCCCATTCCTAAACTTTGATTCATTTTATTCAAGTATGTATCGTGCTTTATACGACAAAAAAAATACATGTCTAATATTTTTTCATTACTTAACTGACTGACTAATTAGATTTTTAATTTTCATATTCTGTCATCATCTCTAATTGCATAAAGTATAAATATAAACAAATAATAATAAAATAAATTAAACATTCCAGGCACCGCACTATCCCCCGTATATCGACTGCAGTGGACGCTACTCTCCTAGACACGCCTATATCCGGGTTCAACCGCGCGGACCGTTCGCTACACAATGAGATCCGCCGCTCCTTCCACAAGCCCAGCGACAACAACCGACACAACGCCGACACTGGCCGCAGCATGCCCAGGAACCTTAACCTCGCGTCAGCTAACGATATCACGAGGAACATCGAACCAGTCGATGTGGACACGTAAGTCAAATTATACACCAAGTTTTGTTTTCGAGAATTGATGACTTGTAGTAGACTGCGCGACATCGCCGCGACCGCGCACGCTGCTCATGAGGAAGAACCCCTCTGTGGTTCGAAACTAGTAGAGCTTTTCTCAGTATATTCACGTGAGTAACCCGCGATTTTTAGTTAGTTGATCACTTGATATGCAATAAAGAATAAAACTGACATTGCTGGGTTCTTTCGATATCCTAATTGTGTTATTTGTGTAAAATATAAGTGTTGGTATATTGCAGGAGCCAGGCCCGTTTGAGCGGTAGTACAGGATGGCGAGGCCGGACTCATAGCGAGGAACATAACGTGGGCGCAGAGCGGGCCGCAGACACTGCCACACCTGCACCGCATGCACAGCACACTCAGCACACTCAGCATAATCAGCACACTCAGCACACTCAGCATACTCAGCATACTCAGCATCCTCAGCACACGCAGCATACGCGAGGACCTCACGCCCCGCCCGCGCCCGCGCCCGCGCCGCCTGCGCCACAGCCCACACTGCCACTCACCGTCGACAAGGTAAGCTGAGTTTTAAACATCATCTTAAACAAGTATGCATTAATTATAAGGATATCATGGCATGCGGATGTTCTATACTCACTATTTCATTTTTGCGTTGACTAAATATACGGATTAATCAATGAATGTGTATATTGTGTTGACGTTACGTTACGTAACCGTACATAGCACATACTGACTAGTCGTGTCCGCAGCCGTCGTGCGTGTGCAGTTACTCTGGCTCGGCCCCGGGCGCGGAGGACGCGGACGACTACCGCAGCGAGTGCGAGAACTGCAAGTCGGCCAGCAGCTCTAGGTAACACTTTTTACAATTAATATGTTTAAGATTTAATACTATTAACATGACAAAAGTTTGCGGTTTACTGGAAATAGTAACCTACAGAGTCTTTATTACATCACTGTATATAGGATGTTATCATTACCCGTAACTAGAGGATATCTTAGCACAAACGTGGTTGGTACAGATGGGTCCTGGAGGAGGGCTGGGAGGGGGGCGGGCTGGAGGGCGGCGGCACGCAGACGCTGCAGCGGCGCGCGCCGCCCGCGCCCGCGCCGCCGCCCGCCACCGCCACCCTGCCGCAACCCGTCACCAAGCAACCGTACGTACGCCTCACATTCCATTACACTCTAGCTATATCTAGCCGTTTCTAATGAAAAAAAAATGTTAGTTTTGATATTATTATCTACATACTCATGGTAATTTTGACTGATGCTGCAACTGTCATCTGAACTCTGCAGGGTAGTCAATAATTAACAGCTGAATTATTATGTTTGGGCTCATTTTAATGGCGACAATGCATGAAATATAAATGGATGATAATCATTTGGACCAAACGAATTACAATTTTGTCTTTTGTTGAAAAATAACTATGACGACATCAGTGGTTGCCATCAATGTCTATTTGAAATGAAAGATTAGGTCAATATAAAATATATGTGTCCGTTTTCACAGTCGAACAGTGATGGGTCCTCCGTCTAACTGGGAGAACTGGTTCAACACGATCCCTGACTCCGACTCCGAGTCCGAGGAGGAGTAGACACGCTCACTACCACAATCACGCACAGCTACGTCACACACAACTAATTACGACACCCTAGCAAGTATTTAACTAATGGAGTATTCATGTTTCATCATCATCATCTTATCAGCTATAAGTTGTCGACTGCTCGAGACCTATAACATTAGCCTCGCCAAATACTACTCGGGTGGTTGGAAGCAACATGCATCCACCTTCTTTTAAAAAACTTCCACATAACAACGTGTTAATTTGATTGCATGTTGACTTTACGGAAGATCTCGGTTTAGCAGTATAATGTCGGAATACTGAAACGTTACTCAATTTTAAATCGTGCTTAAATATCGTGCCGTCTATGTCATTTTACACAGAATTTGTAGAGACAGAACTATACTTAAGCGTGACTTAAAATTGAGTAACGTTTCAGTATTCGGGCATGTCTTGTAGATGATGATGATAATGATGCCATCGGCTGTTCCCATACCAATATCATTTATGCTCCAGTGTCTCTCCATTCGTTACTAACTTGTTCTACCACGAAATACTTCTAACATGCTTGGGGTGTAACCTGGATAAGGATTGTACTCAATATGTAAATGTTGGCAAAATTAGGTAGGAGCTCGGATATAATGGCTGATGATTCGACACCCATTCAACTGTTAGAAGTATCTCGTGCAGCGGGGTGTATAACACCTGTGTTTAAATCGTATGTCGTAAGTTTCAAAATGTATTATTAGATTTTTATTAAATTCTTCACTTCTTTATTTTACGATGTAAATGTTAATAGTAAATTACGCCAATATTTTTTTTAAAGATGGCTAATTTTATTCTATAGTTAGTGCTAGTTACTATTTAGACTTGTCTCTTTCTAAGTTGCTTATGAAGCAAGATAATTTTGACATAACATTTAAATATTTACATTCTTTTACAGTACCTTATTATTTATTAAGGAAATCAACCAAGTATACAGTTAACTAATTTATTTTATTGTTTTGACATTCCTTTGATGATATTATTAAGTTTATTTTACAAATGTGCACCATATACTAGTGTTTTTTTTATTTTTATGTATTGTTTGCACATGTAATGTGTTCTTTTGTTAATAATGAATTAATATTTGTTGCCTAATGCACTTTGCCCATGTATTAAATACCAAAGATTTGTTATGTTTTATGTATATTGTGTTTTATAACTAATTTGTATGTGTTCTGTGTTGGCCGTGGTGTTTGAAAATCTCGTACGAAAGAAGGCAGCTGTCGGTTTGAGAATAAATTGGCTTGTTTAACCAGGATTAAATTCGAAATTGTGCAATACAGCTTAATTTTTTTGAACTACGGCCAAAACGGTATGTTGAATTATTCGTTGTTTATTTATTATACTAAACCAAAAATTATTACAGTTTCGTTAAAATATAATTTGACATTAGATATAAGTATATCTATTTAATAATGACAGTATTTTACTAATATAATAGGATTGTCACAAATTGATCGAAATTTCCTGTTCAAATATAAATCAAAGAACTAGTTTTGAATATTTTCATAGGTTACATAGTGCCAAAAAAGAACTGACAGAAGTAAAAAGAGTTTGTAGTGTTATAAATATTGTATGTTACAAGCGTGGTGTTACAATCTACTCCGTACAAGGAAGATTAGACCTTGTTTCTATGAAATTAGAGTACAGAATACAATGATGCCCCTGTCTGATTTTCGGTCTGAAATTATTGAGTCCTACTTACTCATTCATATGTTCATGTTTCGCGACTGTCGAGCTAGTTAGCAATAGACTAGTTAACTTTATATTACATGGGAATATAAAGTCGAAAATTGGGTATTACAATAAACATGTGCACCTCTGCTTACCCGTTCCAGGAATAAAAACCGTAAACCTTTATTTAGAATGATTGTAACTTCTAGACCAAGTCTACATTAGGTTATATACTTATTTTCCCGCCGATATTTCCATCTTCAGCTCTCCTCTATTGTCAATGGTACGAAGTAAGATTGTGACGTCATTGCGCAATGAAATGCTCTGATCAATAAAATGCCTTACACTGCAATACAGATGACATTTGATGTTAAATCTAAGAGAACGGCAAACCTTTACTCTTAAGTACTTTAGTATTAGATCTGCATTCATTTTACAGTTTATTTGTAACTTTTCATTTATGGTAGTACTTTCTAGGTTTCTGCTAGCGATTGTAATGCAGATCTAGTGCGATATATTTTAGTATCATCGAAATAAATGTAATGTGTAGTGCGTTCTACATGTACAGTGTTTTGTGGCTAAAGGTACATGTAAAGGTGTTGGTTGAGGCTATAAAACTGGATAAATGGTTTAGGTACTTTTAGAAATTCAAGAAAATGTAACGTTTTTCTTACAAGTTGACTCGTATGACGCATAATTTCCGTTGAAAGCCTACTTTTTTAACTGAGTTCATGTTTTCAACAAACACTTGAAAAGTTTTGTGTTAATCTATTTTGTTTTAGCGTCATTCACGGTAGGACATCTAAGTACATGTGGACCGTACTACACAGAGTAGCGTTTCTTAAATTGATTGATGCGTCAAATTCTAAAAAAATCGATTCGAACTATTCAAATGTAGATTTCTTATAATGAATTGTTTTATAAATACAGTTATTTGCAATACATTCGATGAAATGGATTATTTGAGGAATGTCCATTCCACCTGATCTAAGTCTAACCAAAGAAAGCTAAGTAAATGAAAATGTGATTGTTATCATTTAGTGTAATAGAGGTCGCAGTGTAGATGTTCAAGCTCAATATATTAAAGATATCAGTTGACTTACAACTTGAGATATTAAAGTTCAATATAAAGAAGTAATACAAGAATATCTAGCTATACTATATTTTTGTCTAATAAGATTATGGAGCAGTAAGATTATTCGTAATAATAAGATGTCTTTAGAGTATAATTAATAAGAAATTAATATTTTACCCTTTTTTCTAACATCGCCGTGTTATTTATTTCATGAAAATGTTTGTAGGCAGATCGTATGAAAGAAAATAGAACATTAAATAGTCTGACTTTCAGGGTTGTAAGTTAAATAGCACGTGTATAATATTTAGTGGTAAAATAACGGAACATTGGCAGCAACAGTGCTTGCTCGTTCATCATGTTGGGGATGCAAGTATCTGTAGTTAGGACGTTCAAACGATAACTTTGATTTATTTATTTCATTTATCCTAGGGAAACTAATATTTTCAATAATATTTCAAAACTTAACATCTGTTATGTAACACACAAAAATTGGCGAAGCAGGTACGAAAGGCTGACGTCTTTCGCAACCCATAGTCTTGAGTTTTTAATGAATGTTTTGTAAAAGAAACGAATTAAAAATCACAATGACTCAATGACATTTATTTCACATTTGTTACGCAACAAGCAATAAAATCGAGAGCAACCGTTTATTAACATTTAATTTATTAGATAGGCATCAATAGTTATAATGTTTTCGTCTAATTTATTAAAATTGTAACTCATATAATAATTATCTTTTCCGGAAGATAGCTGTGATTGTTCACTGATGCCGTAACTATCGATAAAGTATATCGATTACAATGATTCGATTAACTTGATTTTACAATAACATCTGAGTTCAAGTGAACATGACAGCTTTGACCGATTTGTTAACATTCCATTCATTCAATCATTCAATTGACTTAATTTTAAATTTCAATGTGACGTCATGAAATTGGTGACGTTTGCAGGTCTCCAGTATTACAATCATTTCCGAACCAAATATCTTTGTTTTAAATTATGAAATAAACAAGTTAATGGAAATGTGTTGGTGTTGTTTTATTTGTTTGTTTTATAGCTGTTGGTGTAGTTGTTTGATGAGGAACATGATGAGTATGATAGCGAGCATTGTCTTTGATGCTGTGATGTTGGAAGCTGCGTCTTCTTCCTCTGGGTCGGGCAGCCAGGGACCGCATTGCCTGTAGCCTGCTTCCTGTAAACATAAAGAAAGAAGGAAAAATCATTTATATTGCTACGACATACAACAAGAATTTAGGAACACACAAAAAAGCCTATGGTGCGTCGCAGCGCAAAAGGCTGGAGCTCAGCTTAACATAAGATTGAGATATAAAATTACTTCAAATGTAGGTAGATAATAATAATACTTGCAGTGATATATCATGATGAGTGGACTGGACAGGCATGACATATATGAAAAGCCTAATGATGAAACTAAGGAACTAACAAGTCATTTGATAGTGCAGATAATATACGGAATATGAATCTAGATAATTAAAAAAATAGCGTCATACACGTGCGTAGTTATGCTGGTAGCACTTGACATGCGGCGGGCGCGATGGCAGTGGAACTCTGTTGCGCCAGCACGCCAGCTTGCTTGCTGAACTCTGTCGGAACCCTTTCACGTCTGGGTCCACTTCCAGGTACTAGGAAAATAGGAAGAAATTGGTTATCAGGTGTTCGATGGAGGTTAGACTAAAGTTGTGGAAGATAAAAAAAACTTCATGAAAGGTTAAGTACCTACACCTTACCTTTTTTTTTTCTAAGGGGGGCGGGTCTCCTCCCGCCTGGGTGAGGCGGGAGGGAGTGTCAGACTTTTACTGACTAAAAACCACCCCTTTCCTCCTGCACGTCGAGCCGGAGCCCCGGTTACCCGTTAGGTTCTCCGCAACATGCGGGTTGGAGTAGTTTTAGTCCATAGGGATTTACTTTCTCTTAATCCATAGATTGCATTTATAAAATAAAAATCCCACATTCACAAAACAAATCATATATTCTATGTGGTAATGTTACATGCGACACTGCACGGCAGCGACATGTCCAGCCAAGTGAGCCAAGTACGTCAACCGTGCAGTGTCTTTATGAATAGGAGGCATACCTGTTGCAGTACCTTATCACTACATAGTATAAAACAAAGTCGCCATCCGCTGTCCGTCTGTCCCTATGTATGCTTAGATCTTTAAAACTACGCAACGGATTTTGATGCGGTTTTTTTTAATAGATAGAGAGATTCTTAAGGAAG